TTTAGACTTTTTGCTTTAGAACAGTTACTACTTCAGACGCCAGCACGTGCAACGCGTGTAACTACACTTGTAGCATGCACCTCGGTGCTTGGGAAATTTAGAGAAAGGTCTAATATGGTCTATTGGGACGCTGTCTGCTTTGTGTGCTATTAATACCCGGCCGATTGAGTCAAGGCAATCCACTTTCCAAAGACATTGCCATGCTAACATTTATCGCGTTCATTTAGGCTTAGGAATGGCCAGAATCGAAAGACTATCTAAAAAATGCGGCGAGGTCATATGCTCATGCTTTGCGATTTAAATGAGGTAAGGCAAAGCGAAAGCCTCTGGCACCATTCATTGCTGACTAACGCGCCCAATATTGCAGCTACAACGACATATTAGTTTCAAAGCGAGCGGCGCTCACTCACCGGGGCACCGCCATGTTTCCCTGCATTCCTGCCGAGCCAGTCACGTGATTTCAAAATCCCTCTCCTAGGTACTGCGGTTAACTTTAGCCGCGGTTAGCGCTTGAGCAAACGGGCCCTGGAAGCCACACACTTTAGTTTGAAATATCAGAAGATTGAATTATCAAAATTCATCTAAATATTGTCACGAATAAAAACATACTTCTTTATTAAACTTAAAATCAGTGTGTAATGCGCCGAACTTGTGCTGAGAAACATAAATTAACAAAGACTTTTGATGGTGTCGAAAGGACAACTGCCTCAAGCAGCCAAGCGAAGGTACTTTTGTAAGCGCGTGGGTATCTAGAAGTTTCTGAGCTCGAACAAAAAAAATTTAGAGTCGTCTCATCATTCCAGTTACGCAAACAAAAGAAAGAAGGACATGCGCTGGCGGGGTAAGCGGCATGTGAGTCGATCACGCTGCTGACTCGGCTATTTGCACGTGGCATTACTCCCCTCTTGTGAAAGACTCGTCGTCTTTATGCAACACAAAATTGAATTAACAGCTTAAACAAGACTAGGTCAAAATACAGAGTCTCGTAAATAGCAGATTTTCACAGTCCTACCGAGCATACCTAGTTCAGTTGAGTCGGAAGACGTGAATCGCCTACGGGTCGCAGAGGGCAGCGTGACAATGTTGATGTGCCATTGGCCAACGACTTACAACTTAGGTCTCATGTAGCGAATAACCTTGAGGTCGAAGCACCACTTTAACAGTTCCTTGCTGCGACGATGAATTGGTGTTTAGATTCACAGTGGGTAGCCAGGCTGAAACTGGGCGTCGTGGTGACAAAGATTGTAGCAGTCATCGTCAGGAAGTTGTGGCTTGCATCAAAATGCGACCAAGCTGGCAAACTTCCTCCGTTCGTTGAGCATTCAGATCGCACTTTCTTGTTTTCAGGAAATGCGAAATGAGTAAGGTGGATAAGGTGATAACATGACAGTTGACCAAGAAAGGAGAAAAGACTTGAGACTTTCTCGGACACAGCTGCTTGCCATCTTTATGTGACTAAACCTGAGACGCAGGAGGAGGAAGACACGTAAAGAGGACACACACGGACTGTCCTCGTGCATGCCCTTTTTGTGGGTCTTCTTCCTCCTCTTGTATCTATGTATAGCCATGTTAACTAGTCACTCATTCCTCTATCAGTTTTTGCTATCTTTGCATCTTCTATGCTGCATGCATCCTAGCCCATGCTTTATTTCTTGGCTATACCAGAATGAATGGCACCAGCGGGAGAATGGTGGCCGAGTGAGTGTGTTAACGTGCCGCACCTTGGTGTGCGTGGAGGAATCCTAGGTTCACTCCCCAGCCCTGCCTGTTCGATTGCACCGAGCATCGTACCGTTATGCATTCGTGTACGGTAATCCCTCGTTAGCTCGAACTCGGCTATCTCGAAATATTGGTTAAGTTGGAAGATTTCCTAGCCATAAAATGAACTCACATAGGCACAATTCATTTACTCATTGCTTATCTCAAAAAGGTTTCAGACCCACCTTGGATATCTCGAAATCCTGACAACAAATATTACAAAAAAAAAGAAAAACAGGCAGAGCACAGCAAATAATGACCTGGTGGCCTAAACATTGGTTCTTGAAGGAAACCCACAAACACACAAAAAAGAAAAAAATTGTGCATCATCGCACGTGTGCAACAACGCACAAAGAAAAAGAAAAAGAAAGTCCGTGTCATGAGTGCGGCAACGTGCGCAGGTGCAGCAAAGGCACTTCGCGGAGCAACATGTGCCTCAAGGACATTTGTTGTCTCACTTTCTTTTAATACGAAAGCATTAACCGGGTCTCATGGAGTGAACTGACGTCATCAGCTTTGAAACCACGCCAAACGGCATCTTAAATCCTTTCTCCAAGTGAAGCCAACTCCCAGCTGTGAAACCACGCGAAAAGCTAGCCAGCGGCACCAAAATTCTCCAATCCCAAAAGAGTGAAATAAAGCTGATGGATTTTCGGCTTCAATCCCATTGGCTGGCGTGCGTCGACGAGGCTCCCATTGGCCACTGCATGTCAGTTTCAACGACCGCTCACGCGGCGCTGCGTGTCCGTTAGCGTAGCGTTAACACGGAACGTCCAAGGTCAGCGCGCCCAGGTGAGCGCGTGCTGACCCGCAATGAAAAGTATGCAGCAGACGAAACAAGGGAGCGGACAAGCCGCTTGCATGCTTTGGCATTCGCAACTCATAAGAAGTGATTAGGTATACTTTGAGCCTTTTTCTTTCCCTAATATGGCTTGGTGGTTGGTGCCCCTGTTTCTGTCTCCCTCGCACTCAGCGTTATCTTCCAGCTTTATCCTTTCAATCTTTTTTTTTTTTATTCTTTCAATTTTTTTTGCATTTTGTTTCTTAGTTTTGCTGTCTCTTCTTATTGATTTTTAATATTAATTTTGTTGCATTTTGTTTTGTTCTCCCCACCGCACCTGCACCTGCCGCATGTGTTAGCGCCAAGTCAATTGGCGCGATTGTCGGAAGGGTTCCATTTGCACAATGCACGATCAGTGTAATGAAAATTCGGTACCTCGCTTATCTCGAAACTGCTCTACTCTCGAATTTCTTTCTAGTTTTTATGACTTCGAGTTAATGAGAACTTGCTGTATAACCACCGCGTAATGCACCAAAAAGACCCCAGATTAGCGGCAGTACTGGCTTAATTTATTAGAAACACCAAATGCCTGTCGGGGCTCACTAACTTCCCGCCGTTTAGTATGCAGTCGAGTTCACTTATAACGATATCCAAGTGCCAAGAAAATACCTTCGTTATAACCGATAATTGTTATAAGCGGGTTGAGGAAAAAAAGACAAAAGAGAGATCAAAACATTTTATTTGCAGGCAAGTAAGGTTGTGCAAGTGCAACTACTTGTTTGCAGAAAAGCCATAGTCTGTCAGCTTTGATTGCTTCACGCGAAGCTGGCGCACATCTTTTTCTAGAGCATCTAGGTGCTCCACGTAGCTTAGCAGGAGGTCCTTCGCGAAAACAAAGTCCCTGAGGGACTGTATTATCCGCTGGGCCTCCTGCGATGACAGTACCTGGGTAGGCTCCTCAACCACGTCGTCGGAGTCGTCGGTCTCACCGTTGTCAGCAGCATGTACACGCGCGACGATCGCCTCATCACTGAGGCACTCGGACGTTTCCACAACATCGTCTGCATGAAGGAAGTCGTCCAGACCCGATCTTGCGTAGAATGCGCCGCAGACAGATCGGCCACGACGCCCCGTCCGCAGTGAAATGTAAAACGAAGTCGGAGAAAGATAATCTAAGCAGCGAGCACACAACAGTCGAGTGAGCGAGCGAGTGGCGCCAGTGCGCCGAGTGCGCGTGTGGTGCGACCGGGTGCGCGGACAAGGCCAAAGCGGCGTCTCCGGGAGGGGAGTTCGGAAGGAAAGCTGCTCCTCCTCTTGCTTCCTTCCTAGCAAGCGGCGCAGTCGACTCATTTTCTGAGGGGTGGAAGGGATGCGTGTCGCGGGGCACAGCATGCCGCGGAGAGCCGGCGGTGGCTGGCATTTTCGGCGCACGCTGTAACCAGAATTAATCGCTATATCCGATATCGCAGCCCTGGAGCATCGTAATAAGCGGTTTATTTTACCATTGAAAGCATATAAAAGTGGACGGTGCTATCGTTGTTCATCGTTATAACCGATATATTGTTGTAAACGGTATCGTTATAAGTGGACTCGACTGTACCCTCATGATTTAATATCACTGAACACTTCAGTTAGTTTTGATATGGGGCCTGGAACGGGCCTCCGACTGGTGCGTTTACCGCGTCCTGGAATGTGGTTCCCCAATTCTCGTGTAATGTGGTGGTAGAAGTGCCATGTTGTTGCCGGTGTGGGCTTTGCCGTGGTGTGGGAGCGGAGGGTGGGGCAGCAGAATCCTCTTCCGCTGCAGTTCACTCTGCAGCAAGACGGTCCACGCAAACAAAAACGGACTTGAGATGGGACGCGATGACGACAATGGTCCTCGCATCCTGTCCCCTTTCCCGCCTGCATTAAATACTCCTTTCCCAGAACCATAACAGAATGGAACAACCTACCTCATCACCTATTTATATCTGACAATGTTTTGGAGTCGATTGAGCATTTGTTTGATGTGTAACTCTTTGCATTGTGTTTCATTTTCCTGTTCCCCACTACCGCCACCCCTCCCAACTTTGTTGTGAGCTATTACATATGCTTTATTTAAATTTTTGCATAATTTTCCCCTGTTCCCCTCTCCCATTTTACGGATTACCTGGTGTTGCACTTTTTTGACTCCACTTTTGTAACCCCCAATCCTGCTTGGGCCGCAATTGGCCTGCAGTATTCCTAAATAAATAAATAAATAATAAATTTCTAGGACTAACAGCTGGGATAGCAACGCAGCATGATGGTATGCCAGTTCCTGCGATGCTGTCAGTTGCCGGTTCGGTACCGCTTTTGATGCATGGGTGGAATGGGACGCTAAACGCGCCAGTCAAACACTTGTTCCAGGCACTGTAGCTTCAGTCAACAAAGGGACTCGAGTGTTCCATGGGTTCTTTATTTGGCGGTTGTCCTTTTGCAGCCTGTGACTGCCACCCGTCGGCGTCCCTAGGCGCTTCGTGCGACGCGGAGAGCGGGCAGTGCACCTGCCGGAACAGCTACGGCGGCCGTCAGTGCCTCCACTGCCAAGTGGGCTTCTACGACTACCCCACCTGCAAACGTGAGTCTGCTCATTTTTGCTTTATGTTGTCTCGGTCGATCGAATGGTTGCCCGATTGACGTACAAGTCGGTCGATTGAATGCTTCATCAAGTGAACGCAGAAGTAACGACGAACAAAGTTGAGGAAATGGATGTATTGCTTGGTGCGTCGATAAATCATTGTCGTAAATGAGCAATCGTCAGTTTGTCACTTACTGTATTTACTCGAAAATAGGTCGACCCCTATTTATTGAGCCCACCGAGAATAAAAAAAAATAATTCAAATATAGGTCGACCTTTCTTTTTTTTTTAAGGAACAGGGGAAAGTTAGGGCAAAAGAAACAAACCTTTATTTACAGCACTCTCAGCTAAATCACAGGGCGATGTCAAAAAAGCTTCGTCAGCTTGGTAGACATCCTCGCAAATTGGCAACAATACCTAACTGACACCGTTGTAAAATAAATGACAACAAGAAGAAACAAAAGAAGGTGGAGACGGGCGAGCGACGAAAGATCAAACACAAAGACACGAGCAACGCTGCGAGCCCCTTGAGCAACACGCGACCCGCTGAAAAAAAAAAAACAACTAAAATACCTCCGGTGGTTTTTTTTTTTTTTTTTTTGCGCGTTTGCGAGGGAGAGAGGAATGGAGCGCATAGGAGGGTAAAGTGCATGGCGCATCGCGTTCCTCTCCCTCGCCTCCCCCTTGCCCAGCGAGGGGAACGCTACAGGCGTGATGGCGAAACTCGATGCCCGAGGAATGTGCGCGAGAGCCGTAGCGGGCGGTCACGGACTGTCGGCTGCTGCTGTTCGGTTCTTTTTGTGCATCAAAAGCTTTTTGAAACAAGAAGCCGCGCGGCTCTACCGCGACAACGGCTAGGTGATTGATAGCTCCATACCCTCGGTAGGGTTTCAAATTTTGGTTGCGAATTAGGTCGAAATTCTTTGGTCACGATTATAGGTCGACCCTTAATTTTTGACAACATTTCCGAAAAAAAAAAGGTCGACCTATATTCGAATAAATACGGTAGGTCCTATCCACGCAGTTCAAAATGATTTCTGGGAGTGTGGTGGATTCGTTCGACTTACGTGCATCGGCCTACGGTGGTGTGGAAAACTGTAACGCGGTGCAGAAAATCGCGGGGCACTGTAGCTCCCCGGTTGAAAATCGGCCCACCTGCAGTTGGATGATGGAACTGGATGGAACAGCAAAGACCAGTTTCGTTATCCAGCTGCTGGTGGGCCGACTTTCGCCTGGGCCAGCATACGCTTTCAGATACGCTGCACTCGTAAATCGAACACGACAACGTGCATCGAGTGCAGCTGATGCGGGAGGCGTAGGTATAGATTGAACAAACCTAGTAAACTTTTAAAAAATGGCGTGTCCTGACAATGGTGCATGCCCGGTGTCCGTACAGTGTGTTCGTGCGACCCGACGGGCACTACGGAGGAGGTGTGCAGCAACCGGACGGGCCAGTGCCTGTGCAAGCCCCAGTACGGGGGCCCACGCTGCGACCAATGTGCCCCGGGATTCTACAACTTCCCCAACTGCATTCGTGAGTACCTCCTGTGCTCCTGCGACTTTGCTCTTCTTTTGGAATGCTTGTTGACTGCTTTTATTTTGGTGCTTCATGGTGAAAGCTCTTAAATAGTGTAAGTTGAAAAAGCTATCCAGGACAGACACAAAAATCCGACAAAAACACGCAGGAAAGCTTTGTTTATTGAACGGAGCAATATGGGCGCTTTTATTCATTTGTGGAAACCGTGAGTGTACAGTCACGCAGAAACTAAATAGCTCCAATCAAGTGTGTGTTCTCCCCTTTCAATCAGACCATGCTGAGAAGATGCGGATGATAACAGCGGTTTCTTTGCGTTGATGGGCTCCCCCCTTGTCTGTTTCACATGGACGAGTCCTGATGTCAGCGCTAGTATGAAGGAAAACCGGCAGGAAAGCACTCCTCAGAAAAGAAACGCTCGTTCGCTCAGAGCAATTTAGTTTCTGCACGACTGTAGATTAGTCACATCTGCAATCTTTTGCACAAATCTTATTGCACAATCTTGTAGCCTGTTGAAATACAGGATCTGCGGAAAAGCTCTACCTTCTGCATGCACTCGACAACTTCGGCCCCCATCGAGCACGTGGGCTCGATGAGGGCCGAAAAAATGGATGTCACTTTACCTAAACACCAATCGAGCTTCTCCGCTGAATTTAGCGGGGAAAATCAACGTCACTTGACCTGACACCGCATGACCTACAAAAAAATTCAGTTTCCATGCTAAATTTCGCAGGGAAATATAGACCGACACGCGGAGCGGCTCTGTTTACCAACACGGCCGGAAGGCCGCGCATGCGCGGTAGCTATGTGGGCAAAAGCAGCCCCGCTCTCCGTGTTTTCGCCATTGCGCTCTATGGCGTGCGCTCGTTGTTGACGTTGTAGGGACGCTTGCATCTTTATTTGTGCGTCGTATTTCCTCATAACGTATGTCGTATGCTATGCCCGACTGCGTGGACGGCGTTGCCTACGAGGATCCGTACGCCGTAAACAAGGCCTGCTGGACTTCCGACGTAAAGTTGCTGCCACCGAAGTCGAGGGCTTAGGTCGTCGTTTATTTAGTTTGTTCGCCAAGCCAGTTCACGGCCGACACGGAGCAAGCATACAAGTCTCTCGAGGTCTACGATTACATCGAGTCGGTTTCCGCACTGCCGGCGGGATCTGCAGACTGCGGGTCTGCGGAAGTGTGTGTATTCATTAATTGATTAAATACACAGAGCGTCTTCAAGTCAAGGTATGATATTTTTCATAGCCTCATGACCACAAGGCATTACAACTAGTAAAGGGTTGTCCGTGCTGCAGTCTTAGCGGTAACAGGTTACAAGTAACGGCGTTACCAGGAACGCGTTACTTTTTTCAGTACCGTATAGTAACCTACTCGTTACATTTTCGACAAAGTAGCGGGTAATGTACTCATGTTACTATTTCAAGTAACGTAGTTACGTTAGTCGTTACTACATCGCAAGTCTTAAAGAAATTATACTTCAATTGTTTCCGTGTTCTAGGCGCGCCATGTTTTCTTTGCGTTTTTTCTCGTAAGTATTTAGCTGAAACCGTAAAAAGAGATAAAGTAATTATGTTCAGTTTCTGCATGAACATAATGTTTCTTGATATATGACCTGTATCGTCAAAACCGTAAAATGTGTTAAATCATAATTTAAAAAAAGTAACGCAGAAGTAACGTGCCTTACTTTTTATCGGTTGCGGTAACGCGTTCCTTTTAGTTTTAGATCACGTAGCACAGTAACGCGTACCTTTTATTTGCTACTAACGAGTAACATATTTCGTTACTTTTATTTTATTTTATTTTTTGTAACGCCTACAACACTGCCGTTCTGTCGCCGATCCCCTTCTGCTGGGTAGCACGGGCGTAGCGAGCTTCCGACGAGCGCTTGGCCGGTGCGTTGTGCGCGAGCTCCGTCGGAACAAAATCCGGGCGGTCTCGATCGGTCAACGGTTTCCCTGCACATAAGCAAGCATCGGGACGGAGATTGAAATGAAAGCCGCAGTTGCCTCTAAGAAAGTGTTTGCCGCACAAACGGTCGTTCGCGCGAGGTGACCATTCTTTTCGATCCACGGGTATTATCCACCTTCTATGCGCTTCAGAGTCTGCCGGGAACTTGTGGAAGCTCACTCCGCTGCTTTTCTTGTACATTTTGGCGCAATTAACGGCAAAACAGCTTCGCGGCATGCTGAAATGCTATGACGCCCATGCGAAACGTGCGCGCTTTTGCCCACACCCCCCGGCTCCGGCGCGATCGCAGCGCCGCCGCAGCTCCGTGACGTCAAGCCCGCGTGTCGGTGTATAGGCCATATGTCACACAAATTCCCTCTCCCCATTTTTCTCCTCCCTTCCCTCTCCTCCTTCTCCCTCCTCCTTCCTATTTCCATCTCTTCCCCCTTCTCCTAGGGTGCTCTCCCTTCCCCTCCTTCTGCCCCCCCCCCCCTTGGCCATGTGACACCAATTCAGTGTCCCTGTTTTCCCTTCTTTCCCTCTCCCAGTGCCCTTCCTTGCAGTCCTACAGTGCTCCCTCCCCACTTCAGGTTACATGACACACAAATTCTGTTTCCCCAAAAGTGATAAAAATATAGGTTCTTCACTGTTGCAACAACTGTTCAATCTCTCCCAAACAATTGAAACAGTCTCTCCTAAATACTGAATTTCACGCATTTTAGGTAGGTTTCCGTGTTTTCAGATAAATCCGAAAAGCTCGGAGAAGCAACCGCCAGCGAAGTTTTCGTCACTTCGGATTTATATTTGATAAACTCAAAATTTCAGTGTCCCAATGTAAAGAAAAAAAGTATCCTACAATTAAGTTTGATCAGTGCACAGGTTCAATGCTGCTGAGAAAATGCCATCTCGGTTTTCTTTCAAATCTAGGAATATTGACAAAAGTTGTTCCACCGTTCATCTCAGCCAAAGGCTCATTCATAACAATGGATCATTGTGCTCCCAAGTCACGACAAAAGTCACTCTTCCGGTTTCCAGTTTGGACCATATTATCTGGGCTTCTTAGAGGAAGGAGGGTTGTGTTTTTGTAGGAGTGAAATCTACGAACCATAGAGATTTCATGGGAAGCTGAAAGGCAGTTGAAGCATCTATATTTACACCCTTTATCACTCCACCCCGCACAGCCACGGGTAAGGTGATGGAATACGGTGGAATGAAAACAAGCTTTCCAGTGACTACCTCGAAGAATTTAATAATTATAAGGTATCGACATTTATTAAGGCAACATTGTTTGCACGCTTTGTCTTGGGGCAGGTTAGTATTGCCAATAGCTAGGGTGCCAATGCCAAATCCATCGAAAGAAATATTATTTGATACAAGTGCATTCTCTTGAACCTAGCACAAGTATAGACCCCTATATTATTTATTTTTATTTTTATGTTTAAATATAAAAGAAACATAATAAAATTAAACTCCAAATTTTGGAGAATTGGGGATCTAACAAAAATAAACTCCGATAAACTCGGACTTTTTTGCAAAAAGTAAACTCCGAAAAACACCCTCATAATTTTAGAAAAATAAACTTTGGAAACACGGAACCCCGATTATAGTAATTTAAAGCTAAAGGTCATTGGCAATTTTTTTTTGCTATTCCTACCAGCAACTTGCTGCCTTAACACTTTGTTCCAGAGGCAATGTTTGGGCCGAGAAGAGTGTGGTGCCTCGCAGTGTTGTGAGCAGCGCAGGGTAGCGCAGTGCACAGATTTTGCTTGCTCGTGTCGACGGTGGTCACACTGTAGCAAGGCCACGGGAGAGAGTGCCAGCAGTGGTCCGTGCTTTATTTGTGCAGCCTGTGAATGCGACAGCAAGGGCTCCCTGGGCAATTCGTGCGACAACGCGGGCAAGTGCCACTGCCTGGCCAGCTTCACGGGCCTGCGATGCGACCAGTGTGCCCCGGGCTACTACAGCTACCCAGACTGCAACCGTGAGTGCCTCTCTGCGATACATATAAGGGTGTAGGGGGGGCTTGAAATGGACTTTGCAAATCATTCTTTGTCGGCTTTGCATTCACATTCAAATTTTGTGAAAATTGAGGTCTTCAGTCTTCTCGCTCTAAATATTACGGACAAACTTCTCCAGCCAAGAGCTTAAGACCCCGGATTTTCTTCACCCTCTACGTAAAGCATTTGATCATCTTTGGCACAATTTAGATATCTTTCGAGCTGTCTCGCTGGAAAAGCATAAAGGTGAAAAGCGGTGCCTAAGAACTAATTGAAAACTTTCGTATAGGTGCCATTCCAAGGATAGGTGGGTTTGACAGGCTATGCCAACCTTTCACGAATGTTTTAGCCCTTTGATGCATAAAAACTATATTCTTTTGTCAGCCCCCGTAAGATTTTGTTTTTAGGGTGTTATATCACACTGGAAAGACAACTTTGAGCTCCACTGAAATAATCTACTGCAACGCAGTGATGGAAGTGCTGCGCCAATTGCGCCAATTTGCGCCAAGGACGCAATCCTGCTACATGTAGCGCCAAATTGTTATTTTACCGAAGAATTGCGCCATGCCTGCGCCGAGATGAGATGTAGCAATAAAAAATAGAAACTGAAGTCTTATCAGAGCGCGTGTCGGTACCACGGTATTTTCCGCGCCGCAACTGTTACGCAAACCGAAACTGCGAGGGCGCATTATCATCATCATTGAAAGGAACGTCAGCAACATCTGAGACCAAAGCCGCAGAGGCTAAGCGAAGAACCATCCCACTGAGCTGCCTATTTAAAAAAAAAAGAAAAAAGGCCGAGCTTGTGAATGTTTTCAATGTTGGCCCGCCCTGTTCCCGAGCGCTAGCTGCAAGCGAAGTCAAAGCTAGCGCGAGCCCAATGCTGTGCATTCCTAAGTCGCGCACGGGCTTGTGCAGTGTGGGCACCGTTACAAGCTTCATGCGCGTGCTTGCAGCTTCAGATGCGCTCGCACTGAAGCTGAAACGAAGTCTAGTTGAGTTGCACCAAACTCTGGATGTAGTGCTGGTAAAGCCTTACCGTCCTTTTCAGAGCACAAAGCACTGCGCGACTGCGGTGTCTGCTCCGCGGGTGTCGCTTCTCTGCAGCGCGTCGGTGCATGCCAAGGAGCGCACTCAACGGGTTAACTCGCCATGATCCGATCGTGACTTCGCCAGCACATCGAAAATGAATCGTAATTTTTGAAGCGAATATCAGATACCGCAATATTTGAAGCTGCTGCCCGAAAGATAACTATAATCTGAACTAAAACATTCCACAACAGTAAGGGTCGTTAGATGCTGCTGCAGATACCTTTAAAGAAGTGCAGGGTAATAAAACTAAATATCCTGTACCATCAGAACTCAGTGTGACATATTTAATTGTATTTTTTTTATCTGATGAGCAGATAAACTTTATTTAAAAAAAAAAGGTTTTTTCTGTTTACTTTGTTGAATTTGATATATCCTGTCTTAAAAAGGCGACAGACGCTGTGTTCCAACAGGGATGGGCTTTAATAGCACAGCAGCATTATTTCAATTTCAAGTAATATGCCAACATATGCCGGACCCTGCTCCAAAGGGGCCACTACCTGCTCCAAAACAACATTTTGCCTGCTACAAGGCCTGCTCCAAAAGGTCAAATGGCACTTCCATCACTGGCAACGCTACATAGTTCAGTTTAAATGTGACGCTTGCGAAAATGTTGCTTGTTTGCTAAAACTTGATCATCTGTGCCAGGCCCCGTACGTGAAAAATTGCCTGGATGGTTGAACCGGTGTTTTGCAGCACTGGTCTTTATTCAGCATTATGCGGGACATTGTGAACAGACCAGATTGCTCAGCCTGAAGATTGAATGTGTAATAACTTGCGGTTTTGCAATTTGTGATTGATTACGTAAATGAAGAAAAGTGGCTTTCTTTTCAAAAATACAGTGAGTGTGCAAGTGAGCTGGTGGATGTTGGTTGTGTTGAAAATTACCCGGGACTGTGGTGAAAGATGGGAAACCTAAAGGTTTCCCATCTTTCACTTTGTAACAAAGAATGGTGCTGTGAGGTCGGTTATCAAGTGCTAGATTCGTGGCTGTATAGGAATTGGAGGAAATAAACGCAGTAGCTAAGTTTGAGACATTCCTTTTCTTGTGTCGCACAGTCTCATGTAATTTTAATCTTGACTTCCTAATTTTTGGTTTAGGCAATTTTGTCCTTCAACATTTCTGCACCGTCTGAGCTCACACTAGTGAGAAGTTGGCACGAAGGTCCTCTGATGCTTCAAATCTCGTGAGAACTGCTGCGCCCTGGAGTGAATGACCCTCAGTGTGTCCCCTGCAGCCTGTGGCTGCGACTCGTACGGATCCGTGGGACTGTCGTGTGGGAGCGACGGCACCTGCTTCTGCAAGCCCAGCTTCGACGGAGAGAAGTGCGACCGCTGCAAGAAGGACTTCTACAACTATCCCCTCTGCGAAGGTATCCACACTGCCAACACATAGAAAATTGTCTCGGTTGTGCTTCTCTCGTAGCATCATAATCTGCTTCGCCTCTGTTTGTTGTCATCTTTTTATGTATCTCATTGGTCTGATATAGCCGTGTACATGGCTGAGGGGGAACGCTACTTCATACCTAGGGTTTGGAGTTTTCGGTTAAAACCGATAAAAAACGATAAAAGTACGCCGAATCCATTTTCTGAAATTCGGTTTTAACCGGAAAAGGTCAGTTTTTTTAGGGCCGCGTCGAGGTGGATGGGGGGAGGGGTGGGGGGGGAGAGGGCATTGCAGGGTTCAACATTGTGTGACGTCTTCTAGATTGCCCTCTTCCAAGGTTCAATATTCAACAAAAGAGGTCTTGGATTGGCCTTCACGGGACATCTCTGTCCTTTCTGTGATCGGGCTTAGTGTGTCAAAGTCTCGGTCCCCCAAAAAATGTTTGGATGTGGGCTAGTATAATGTTTTATCGCTTCATGCACTTCAGGGGACATCCAGGAAAGCCGTTAATACCTTTCTTAACACCCTCTCTCAAACTTCCCTGTGGTTGAGAACATAAATAAAATGGATTTGTTTTGCCATTCCGCTGGTCACTGTACGGTCATCACCTCAGACGGTCACGTCGTCAGAATGGGAAGGAGAAAGAAGCGCGCGGAAGGTTATGCCCGCAAATTTCGCGATTTTGAGGTGTATCCTGACGGAAGTTGTAGCGAAGACCAATTATGTATATGTGCCGTTATTCTTTGAGTGATCACAAGTATCACAGCTACAAGGATCATCTGATCCGGTGTCCGATGGTGTTTTTTTTTCATATTCATCGAAAAAAAAGGTAAACTTTCATATTCACCGAAAAAAAACGAAAATTAAATTTTAAAATAGACACCGAAAAAAGTATGCCGAATTTTGAAAAAATAAAAACCGTAAACGCGGAACCCTATTCATACTTGTAATGATTTGTGTTTACTTTTACCCCCAATGTTAAAACGCTCGAACATTCTAGGCCGAATGTTTGAGATCCCGAGGGTAATAGATAAGGGGCCCAGCACGGCCTTGCCGACTCCCTCTCGCTCCAGCCAGCTGTCACGCCGACACCTCGATGCTCGCTTCTGCTTTTTCGGCGATCTTTTTTTTTGTTTTATTTTACTTCTGGCGCAAGTTTGCGGATAAATCCTTTATTTTCGGTTTGACGCTTGTCTATCCTTTTTCATCCGTGACAATATCATGTGCTCAAACTCAGTCCATTACTATAACGGACAAATTGGCATAAGGTTTTCACATTCTTGCTATGTATCACGATTGACTTGAACTTGCTTATTGGCATCACTGTAATTGACATTAACACTTTTTTGTTAATTCCACGAGCTAAGGTTTTCGAAAATGCAGTTTTTGTAGTTCTCTAGCTCTTGTTTGTTATCTTTATATTGACATATTCAACAAAAATACACAAAAAACGCATTATTCGTTGTGATGGTGAGAGTGAATGACAGAATGGAGTTCGGACCACGCGCTGTCTCTACATAAAAAAGAGGGTACGTCTTTTCTTAAAGGAATCTGATTTTTACGGCAGTCATTTTTATCTGTAATGTTGAAAGAGCTTTTATATATCTCTGCTTGTCAAGACCAGTGTTTCAGCGATAAATATTTTGAGCAAATTTAAGACGAAAAACCTAAATATTGCCATTTGGGCTTACGTTCACACTCTGTCGTACCTAGTCACCCATTGCGAGCTTCCCAATACAAACTTCAAAGCCGAATCTTGAATTTTTCATTGTATACTTTTTCTGCCTTACTTGCTCAGTTTTGTATGAACATAGCGTGTACACTGTGCGACACTGTTAGTGCGAATACACCATCGCCACTTTTTTTTGCTTTTCACTTCAATCACGTACCGGCGGCCACTATATTTTGCCGTTAGGTGAGGGCCCCAGACGAGTCCTTTCCACCACACTAGTAATTTGTATCATGCTCTTTCGATTCTAAAAGACAAGAAAAACTGCCAATTCTTTGTTTTCTCTAACAGTATCTTGCAGTGTACATTAAGCTATTTTACGTAACAGTTTGTAAATGTTTTTGCCCCTTCGATCTGTAAGGCATCCCACGGATGTTTTTGAGAATTACTAAGCTTGTTGTCTGCGAGGGTGTCTCAAGGGGAAGGGGGCATGGCTTCCCGCAGGCTGCAACTGCAACCCGGCGGGGATTCTGGCGACGTTTGGCGGCTGCGGCAGCCTGACGAGCGGGGAGCTGTGCGAGTGCAAGGAGCGCGTCACGGGACGCATCTGCGACCAGTGCCGCCCGCTCTACTGGAACCTCAAGCCGAGCGACCCGCAGGGTTGCGAGGTTGAGGCTCGGGTGTAGTCTGGCATAGAGACACCGTATACACTTTTGGCGTCGAGGTCAAAAGCTTCTGGAGGCGACATGACACCACGCTTGGTCCCCTTCGGGGCGCCGGCGGTGACCAGAACAGCTGTTGGCGCCAAGTCATTTCTCCTTTTCGTACAACGGCGTCTCTTGGTTTTGGTCATCGTTGAGGGCATATCCCTCCACACTTCTGGCGTCACCTCTCGTGGCCTCATGTCGCGTCCAGGAGCTTTCTGCCGCCATAGTTTTTGGAGTGTCGCATCTCTCCTCCCTTTGCCGACAATTGTTTTGTTTGTGTTTTGTTGCGGTTGGCAGTGCAGTCGCCATATTGGGTTTCGAGAATTCGGTTCAAATGGCAGCAACTCGCCATTCCGCTGAAGGCATGTCTCATTAATGTTAGCGTCTTTGAATCTGCACGTGGAATTGTCCACTTAGCCATTCTTATCTTTATTGATCTCTGAAAAAGAACTCGTCCTTCCTTCCTTTGTCTTGTTCTCAAAAATGACTTTTCAATACTGCCACCACTGCCTAAATTTGGCGTCATGAGTGATGGTATCTGGTGGAGGCAGTGCAAACTCTGTGCACTCATGTGCCTGGCTTTTTCTTTTGTCTAAAACAGCATCATTTTGTTTTTTAGACAAAAGAGGAAAACAGTGTTTGTAACTTCCGCTGTCAGAAATCGGTAAAGAATGGTTGAGGCACCAGGACCACCTGTCATGACGTTCCTTAGGGTCAATGCAAGGAGGTCAGCCTGAACATTAGACAAATGCAAAGAGAGAAAACAAACATACAGACCTCTCTGTGTTTGTCTAATGTTCAAGCTGACTTCCTTGTATTGACAAGTACCAATTAGCTCAACCTAAGCCTGTTATTCAAGCCTTACGGTGTCGGGTATCGGTTAAAGAAAAGCATAAAGAACCCAATTCTGCTTGCTCGCATTTGAGGGGAGGAGATGCACTTGGTCAGGTTGTGGTTTTGCAACATTATGAAACCATCCAAAATCTGTGCAGCACCCCCATGCTCTTAAAGTTAATCTTGCCTTTTGTTAGAGACTGCACTAGAAGAATGGGGACAAAGTGAAGCACAAGTTCTCAAAACTTTCTGACCTTGAGGAACCTTTATCTGGCTCGACTGAAGACCAAGGAACCCCTCCTTATGCAATAAAGCAGCACAAAAGCCCACAGGCCTTCTAAACAATCATGCACTTACTAGATAGTGCTTGGCTCATAGCTAAGCATCAATCAATGGCTCAAATCTGCCTACTTAATCTGGAAAGGCACTTTACTTTGGGACAAGTGCGGTCGAGGAAATTGGGGAGCTTGAGAGTGCTCTGGGGAACCCTCGAGGGTGCTCTGGAGAACCCTTGGGGGTGCTCCAAGGAACTCTTAAGGGTGCTCTTGAGAACCCTCGAGAGTGCTCTGGAGAACCCTTGGGGGTGCTCCAAGGAACTCTTAAGGGTGCTCTTGGGAACCCTCGAGAGTGCTCTGGAGAACCCTTGGGGGTGCCCCAAGGAACTCTTAAGGGTGCTCTTGGGAACCCTCGAGAGTGCTCTGGAGAACCCTTGGGGGTGCTCCAAGGAACCCTTGAGGCTGCTTCTGGAACCCTTAAGGGTGCTCTGGGGAACCCTGTTTGAGAACCCACGCTTTAAGGTACAATGCCTCAAAACCGGAGCGCTCGAGGTGGTTTGCTAACGCCGCCGTTCCCTCCCCTTGCGCAGACTGCGAGTGCCACTCCCCGGGCACCCTGGGGGGGCTGCGGGTGTGCGACGGCCAGAGCGGCCAGTGCCTGTGCAAGCCCAACGTGGGCCAGCGCCAGTGCACAGAGTGCCTCGACGGGACCTTCCACCTCCAGGACCAGGACCTGCTCGGCTGCCAGGGTGGGTCTTGGCCTCTGGGCCTTGGCATTTTACTCCCGTCTTCTGTAGATGGGCATCCAGGGCAGTGGGGTGCTTTCGGTCGCTGACCGGACGGCAACCTTCTTTTCCTCACTGCTTGTCTCATACTGTACTTTCTTTTGTAGTTATCCTCTCTCTATTTCACTGACTGTGCAGGTATTTGCTCGCGAACTTTTTATTACTTGTTTATTTATTTATTGCAATACCCTCGGGGCCGAAAGTGCATTACAGAAGGTAGTGGGCAACTGAACACAGTAAAAAGACATGCATATGAGTTGAACGCGGTTACGGGATTTCAAAAGTTATTATTAATGGTAGTTTTAAACAAATCTAACGATGGTATTGATATTATAGATGCAGGCAGGTGGTTCCACTCTGATGATGTTCTAGGTTGGAAGGAATCGTTATAGGCTGAGGCCTGACAGTGAGGAATGCCAACTTTGAACTGATGGTCGAGGAAGAGTGTTTCTTTTAGGAGAGGATTAGTGTGATATATTTTGTAGAGAAGACATAGAAACCTATGGCACAATAAAAGAAGAGGTAAAGAGAGGTTAATTTTCATGAATGAAACACTGGGTGTTTGATGATAGTTGGTTATTATAATATGAGCACTGCAATTTTGAAGTGACTCCAGGTTAGCTGTGAGGGTGGTCTAAACAGGACACCAGATTGCAGCAGCATTATTTGAGCACAAAAAGCTTCAGGGAGACGGGGGCTAAAGGAAAGTGATATGTCAAAGCACAAAGCTCTGCCCAGAGGATATACTAATGGGTGTGCAAAAGGAGCATTGTCTGCTAGTTGTAGCAATGACTGCCTTGTTTTTCCTGCGACTGCCAGAGATCCACCAGTTCTTTACAAAGCTGAACTTGGCCTCTGAAACAAATGTACACGCCTAATCGTGCTTACAAAAACCTGTGTTCACAGAATGTGCTGCAGAAACCACACTTCCATGTGTGGTTTGTGCTAGATCTTTAAATCCTTTAATCTCTCTCTTTTTTTTTAACCTTTTCTGATGTTAGGTGCTAGCCACCATAAAGGATGCTATCTGCTGGGGAAAAGTTGGCTGTACACAATTATTTATCCTCACTGTTTTTTGCACCTCCTTTCATATGTGGTAGGAGGCATTTTAGTTGACTTGTTCGCTGTATTTTATTTTTGTGAATTTGGTGGCAATTTGTGTTAGAGGGCAGCTCCACTCAATTCAGAAAATTTCAAAATTATGAGTGATTTCACATTTAAAAGCACCAATAAAAGCCACTACATCATTTGCTTCTCAAGAAATGGGATATATTTTGTGAAATCTTACTTTAAACATGAGCAGACACTGAAACCAAAACTTTGGCTCCGTCAGGCAACATTGGCTTCCGGCCGCCCAAAATATAGCTATTGCGTGGTACGTGCGGTCACATAATCTTCTACGCAACAATGGGCGGGATCAGGGTAAGTAACTGTAGGGCGGGTGTGTGCAAGGTGCAAGTGTCTTCTGCACTGCAGTCTTCACCACGTTTTGGTGTCTACGATATCTTACAAGGTCTGCATAACTGCGGCATCAGTCTGTGCACGTAGTGTGTACAAAACTCCCGAGAGTCAATAATTGCGGCTGGCGAGGCGATGATGACGACGGTTGAGACGTGTCAGACGGCGGTAACAGCAGGACGGCTGGACGGCTCTCCCAAGGCTGAGAAGCGGGCTGCGTAGGCGTGTTTAGCCAATCACCTGGATACCGCCGAGCACCGAGAAGAGACGCTGGTGACGTCCCCCATTAAGCTTGCCAGGGGAAGTAAAAACAAACAAAAAGTAGACTTCGTTTCAGCTTAAGTCCTGATGCAGCCGACGCTACAAGCTTGAGCATGTGGCCCCGAACGGTACTTGCACTACTTGAGCGTGCGTGCTTGGCAGGAACGCTGAAAGCCTGCCAAGACTTCAGCTTAAACAAAGTATTGCAATATTGATGACGTTTAACTCAATGTCGGCTACGACTGCGCTGTCAACAGTGCCTCAATACGCCCGTTAGAGTCGCCCAATTTTGGCAACTTGGCACTTTCCAAAGTCAGCCAGACCGTTTAAGAAACATTTAGAGAGAACTTGGTCGTAATATTTTACGTGTGGCCTTCGTAGAGAATACTGAAGAGGACTGCATTGTTTTTTTCAAAACTGAAGCGGAGTTGTCGTTTAAGCATAGGCATAAGTAATAGTTTGGCAACACTGTGCCGCTCCTTTTGTGTTGCGCAGACTGCCAGTGCGACGTGGGCGGAGCGGTGGGCAGCTCGTGCGACGCCCGGAGCGGGCAGTGCCAGTGCCGGCCCCGCATCACGGGGCGCCGTTGCTCGGAGCCCCTGCAGGCGCACTTCTTCCCCACGCTGCACCAGCACAAGTACGAGGTGGAGGACGGACACACCCCCAGCGGGGTCAACGCCCGCTTTGACTTCGACAGCGGCCTCTTCCCGGGCTTCTCCTGGAAGGGCTACGCCATCTTCTCCAACATTCAGTTGAGGGACAAAAATACTCTACTCGCTACAGTGCAATCCACTTATACCGATACCACATAAAACATTGTACTGCTTATAATGATCAGTTTCTAGGGTTTCTAGTTCAGATACAGTGCTAACCTTTTAAAACGATTTAATTTTCAGGTTTTTTAATTATCGTTATAAGTGGATTGCACTGTACGTTGTACAGTCATGTGTCGTTAATACGAACCCCATTAAAATGGATGCCCCCTTTATATAGGCAAGGTTTTCTAGGATGAATTGGGTAAATACACATTTTTTTGTCTCGTTATAATGAACAACTCGCAATGTTTTGGGGAACGGAGGCGTCCCTATGGACGAGACAGCACTGTTATACCATATAACCTTACAATCTGTTACGGGAGAGTCTGTATAAGAAAAGACACAAAAATGTGCTGGATTATGGAACTGGTCTTAGCTGGATCCGGCTGGGACCAGTTTCATAATGCAGCTGCGGGTGAACTGTTAATATATAATTATAGCAAGAGTGACATTGCAGTGATTCATCAGCATCACATGATATGGTGTGTTGCATCACATGACGCTTCGCATGACGACGTTGTTTGGAGCACCACGCAACACGACATGCAATGTCTTGTTATTATGTCGCCTGACATGTGTGGTCTCAGATGCCTCCAGCTGAAAATCAGACAATCTGAATGGATCCAGCTAAGACTGGTTGCCTAATCCAGCTGAAAGTGGACTGCATGGTTTTCACCTGGGACGGGACCAGCACCTGGGAGCTCTCAACAGCGGTGTTCATCTTAATGTGGGCATTACCCCGATCCTTTAGCACAGTTTTCTCTCGCAGGTATGCGCAAATCACCAAACTTTAGCACTGAAGTTGGTACCGTATTTGAATCTCTGAGAACTAGGAAACTGTCCATTTGCTTGTTGGGTCTGACTGAGTCTTACTCTATACTTGAAATGGAACGGGCCCAAGACCAGGGTGTAAGGTAGACAGGTGGGGAAACGAGAGTCAGATGAGCGACCGGATTGTGTCCCCTTCGGTTTTCTCTTTTTCTGTGGCGCCATCTATGTGGAGCACCGCAAACTCTCACTCCGGGTGGGCGACCGGTGGCGACCAGCTAAACTGACGGAGATGGTTTCTCGTGGATTTTCAATGGGGGACTGTCGTGCTCTCGGTTTATTTTGCGCACTCTCCCGTAGAGTTGCACGCAAATCCGATTCCGACTTTTTTTCCTCTCGCCGCAGCACCATCTGTCGCAAATCGGGGGTACCCGCAAGCAGACAAGTACACAATCCGGTCACGGCGCTGCGGTAGGCTTCTATGGGCCGTTTCCCCACCTGTCTATCTTACACCCTGCCCAAGACTAAGATCGTTTTCCACCTTGCCCTATTCGCACTGCTTAGAGGGCATCTACATCAGTATACAAAGACACAATTCTTGACAGTATAATGCAGGGACTAATCCTAATGCTATCATTTATTGAGCATATAGGGAGTATTCACTGGCGGCCATAGCTGTGTGCGCGACTGCTGAGCGCGTGCTGATTGCGAGCTTCCACAGTCCTTTTGCAACGTGCATTCCGGCCCATGAAGAGTGCCGGTCTTAGCAGCCTATTGATGTGAGCTCGTTCGGAGCATGCGCTCTAAACAGCACCCACAAATGTGGCGTCCAGTGAATACTCCCTATAGGTATACAGTGTAGACCGCATATAACGTATGTCTCGGGAGTCGCGAAAATCCGCACTATAAGCGGTACCGCACTATAACCAAAACATCAATTTTTGAGGCCAAAATACATGCCATGACACAACTTACCTTTGTAAAAGAATTTATTTTATGTTAGATGAAAAAATAAGCTTAGTTTGAGGAAAGTCTTTATTTCAATAGACTAGTACAGTTATGTCTCAAGTGCGTCACACATTTTAAAAGAAATTAGCGGCTTTTGCCTGGCGCAGCCTTTTAATGGCGTCGCGGGTTGCGGACGGACGTTGCGAGCGCTCAGGATTGCTAACCCTAATCACTTTTCTCCGGAGATGAAAACGCGTGAAAATTTGTATCCTTCATACGCTACGCGCCAGTAATACCTTGAACTTGAGCACACGCATGAATTGAGCCAAATAAGAAATCCGGGCGATGTTCGAGGACACAAATGCTTAGAAATCACCACTGTAGTCGAAGTAAACAAACACGACGACACGGGCGTTTTTGCCGTCTTGAGAGCGCCGCCACGACATCGCCGCACGAGTAGGTGGATCTTCCCTTCTAGTACGTGCTGGGTTATCATAGCGACACACAACGAAAATTCACAGTCAAGGATAGCGCTTTTACGCAGAACGATGAGATGCACGCCGTCTACGACGACGATCACAACCAACGCCATGTTTGCGGAATAGAAGCAGCCGGCCTGGCGGCCTGGCCGGCCCGCGACCGGCATGCATGATACAACGCGCGCGAACACTTGTCCTCGACCTGCGATTGGTCTGTCGTTGCGGTTGTTTGTTTCTCTGTTTCCAACGCAGCGGAGGGACGCACGCACGTGAACGACTCGTGCGTGCGTCCCTCCGTCACTATGGCAACTGAAGCCTCCCTCTTCGCTTCTTCCCGCGTTTTCGAGCAACCTCCTTGCCCCGCGAGTGCAGTTTGCGGCTCGCGCCGTCAGCTTGCGTCAGCGTCGTTATCTGGTGTCGCACAGGGAAGCGAGCTCGCTGCTCCGGTCGTCGGCGCGGCTGGCGGGCTGCGCCAGAAACCGCACTATAACCGGTACTTCCCTTCGCGCGCCTGCATTTTAAGCGGTATGTAATTACATGGAGTTCTATGGGAGGTGAACCGGTGGTTTAAAAAAACCGCGTTATACCCGGTCCTGCACTATAAGCGGTTACGTTGTAAGTGGTCTATACTGTATCATGAATTATCGCCAGACCCGCATAATTGTTAGGAGTCTTCTTCTATCGATCTTTTTGGCCCATTGTCAATCCTCCCGCACTCAGACCTTTCTTATACTGCCAGATGCATTTCTTCTTTGATTTGTCTGTTTTTTTTCTAAGGTTTTTGTTTTATTGTCACGGTAGCAACCTTCACTTGTCTTGCAATGTGCTGTGCATGGTCCAGATGACCCGGAGGCTTTTAGAAGATTGGAAATATAAAGATGATTATTATCGTTATAGTTATAACGAGTGGGTGATCCATTTATCAAGAAACCCAGTTGTTCTCATGCACTACGCAGTTTGTTCTGGCTCATTAAAAGAAACGCTAGAGTCCTTTCCCTAACGGTTGTCGTGCCAATGCCTTCCTGACCCGCAGAAGGAGATCCTGATTGACCTGCACATCCAGAAGCCTGGGCTGTACCAGGTGATAGCGCGCTACGTGAGCCTCAACGGCGACAATGTGTACTGCAACATCAGCTTCACTCCGGACACGTACGGAGGTCAGTGCCGCTTCTCGTGGACGGGCTACTCGACCGGCGTCCTTGTACGAACCATTTTCTGAGGCTGCACGTTCGATTGTACCCAAAACTATCCAATTACCACGGCAAAATGTTTTCACCGTGATAACTGACAGGATGAGGACGACGGGGAGGAGTTTCGGTTGCCCCGCCTCCAGCGCAAGCTTCTTAGCTTCTACGACGCTTTGTCGTCTCGCGAGGCTCCCAAAGCAGGGCGAAAGGCTACTAGGGCGTGCCAGAGTCCGGGCGCTCGAAAGAAAAGCGCTGCTGTCCTCACGTTGTCAGTCACTAGAGTCAGGATTTGCTTGAAATGCAGCAGACTAGCAGTGCTTTGTGTTTGGACAGACGTGAAAAGTATGTGGACTCTCTGTAGCAACTAGAGATGACTATCGATCAATTGTGAGGGTGTGTCATCAGCAGGATCGAATGCCTTTTCACAGTGATAACGGGCAAGCTCTTGCAATGTTTTGGATTTATTGGCAGAAACACCCCTTGAAGAAATTTTGAGCGTCACACTCCAAAATAGCCGAAAGGGCTGTTGGTGGTGATAATAGTCTACCCTTCTCACGGCTAATATGTAGCATGTAACGAGTGTACATCTGTTCGCCCTTTTTCTCATTGGCAACAAACTCGGTGGCGCCATCTATGGGGTAGCTCTGGAACACTTCCAATTCGCCTATATTCTCTCATTTTTTATGCGTCATTCTTTCACCGTAAGAGCGAACTACGTCTTACAATGCTATGAGAGACCTCTTCCCGAAAATAGTGTGTAAATACAATCTTGCAAATGCTACAAAACTTGCCATCTAGTGTTTAATTTGCGCACTGGCGCCACCACATTGCAACTCATGCCAGAAAAAGTGATTATATGTTCGCTGTGCATATAAAGTGGTACAGTAGATGTTTGAAGTTAGTTAGAGTAGAACCTTTGCTCTCAAAACTACCAGTGCTAGTTGTCATTCTTCTGCATTCTTTTGCAGTACTCGAGCTTGATCAGAGATTTGGGAACGCTTCGTTTTTTCTGCTAAATTTATTATCTAGATGAACGATTAGCGTACCCTTTGATCACGAAATGCTGTCGCCTAGCATTTCGTGCGTATGTCGGCCCATGAATCAGTCGATCCCACTTTAAATTATGCTGCACTTTAATAGCGGTACCTTATTTATTTCACTGTACAGGACACCGCATGGTCTTAGTGTTGGAACAGGTATAAAAGAAATTTATAAAACAGACGCCACAATTGTCTGTTTCTTGGAGGAACACTGTCAAGCCTCACGAGTCAAACTATTTTCGAAAACTTCAGGAGGTTCTGGTAGGAAAATATATGAGCACATGCTCAGCTGAGTGCAGGCACTCCCTCAACCAAGGAAGCTAGATCCTGCAGGCTCCATTGAGCTGCAGTAATCTACATTGCACTCTCCCAAAGTCCCTTTTATACCTATTGTGGCTCATCTTTTTGCCCCCAAGTTTGTTCTGAGACGCTTCCTCCCTCTCCTTTCTGATGTTGCCTTGTTTCATCCTGGAAATACTTGAACCCTATTTCATCTCCCACCGGGTGGCGCCAAACTTTATTTCTAAAGTAGTGGACTGGCACCCAAATTTTTCCCAGTACTTGTTCATGGAGGCTCCTGTCACTATGAGCAAGGGGGGGGGGAAAGGAGATGGGAGCGAGGCATGGCAAATCATAAGCACTTTAATCGGTAGTTTAGAAAGAAAGAACGAGAAAGAGAGCGACAGAGAAGCGGAGAAGGAAAGCAGACGATCAATTAGACATGTTCGTTTTGCCACAAAGAGTTTGAGTTGTTCGAGTGCTTGTCAATTACAGTCAAACCCACCTATAATGAACGCGACAGTTCCGTGAAAAGTGGTAGTTTTATCAGTAGTTTGTTATATCTGGACTTTCCTTTAAAACGTCATAAATGATGTAGTTGGTATATGTAATATCACTCTGCCAGCTTTTTATTTAAAGGAACTGTTTGCAAGATTCTGACGCACCCCCAATTCTAACGTGCAGGCAGATTCAGCTTTCAAAAAATCAAAAAGTAAATTGCTGCCAATTCTTCCGTGTAAGTAAAATAATGAAGATTGACCCGATACCTCATAGAACAGATTTTATGAGACGCACGCCAACACAAAAATAAATGCCATGCAGTAGTCCGACGATGGTTCTTCACTGTCCACAGAGGTAATTAATACTTGCTTTGGTCTAAAGCGTTTCAAGTGCCACGCTTCCTGCGCATGCACGAGTGCGCGGCTGTCGCCTCTGGCAGGGTCGTCTTTTAAAGAACATTTTGCGAGCTCGTCGGGTGGCTGGGATTGCGAGGCCATGAAGTGCTGCTCCGTTATTTTTTTCCGCCAGCGTGATGCCCTTTCATTTAAATAAAGCCTAAAAGTTTTTTTTTTTCCTGTTTTTTTTTTTATCTTAAACCGACGGACACGAGTCCGCGCGAGAGAATGTGCGTGATATGGATGCCGAAATGGGCGGACATAAACACTGTCACTATGGTGATGGGGCTAGCCACTTTACACCGAGCATTGAGTTTTCAGACTGTGCGAACCGGGGAGTATTTTTACTTTTGTAGTTTTGTTTCCTTCCCTGCTGCGCGGCCGCGGAAATGACCTTGAGCGTGGCCGGAATACACGGGACCTTTCCCTCTGGGTTATTATATTACCTCTGTGCTGCGAACCCCCTGCAGCCCTCTAGAATGAGCGACCTTCCCACGTGGCACCCCTTTCAGAGACCAAGCAGACGGAAACGCTGGTGCTGCCCCCGAGCCGAGAGCCCCGCTTCCAGGGGGTGGTGGGGCAGGACGGGGTCACTGCCCTCCCCTTCGTGCTGAACCCCGGCCGATGGACCCTTTCCATCAAAGCCCCCCGGCCCGTCTTCCTGGTACGTAGCGGATGCGTGGTCCCTGCCTGCCCGGGACGCGTCTTTGGCCGGTGTACTTAGCATCCTGTCCCTCCCACGCAGTGAAGTGGTCCCGAAGTGGCTACAGAGTATGTCGCGGGAGCTGGCATGTCACGTTGTCGGACGTTGCAATCCTGGCAGTTGGTCGTAGAAGTTTTGCAAAAAGAGGCAAGCGAGCGAGGGTGGCGTCGTCGTCGTGGCATGCCAACTCCTGGCTGCTCAAGCGTCTGTGGATTGTCAAGCTCGTGTGCGACCTGCTGTAGAACTCCACGGCTGCGACGCCGCCGGGGGTCACGGCAGGCGATGGCGCGCCACTTCTGCGATGTCCTCAGTCAGAAATTGAGAGAGGACGTGTGAGGATGCAGTAATTACACCAGTCGGAGACACGTTTTGCCACCATACCCACGGGGAGGAAGGCTGCGCGTCGGCCTGCCGCCTTGGTGGTCTTGAGGCAAAGCACCGGCCTACGGATCCCCAAGTGGCAGGTCCGAATCTCGGCCGAGGTCCCTGCAATTTGATGGAGGCTTATTGCTGGGAGCCAACATTTCGGTTGCGTGTAAAAAGGTCCCCGGGCAGTTGAACTCGATCCTCAGTTATTTAGTACGCTTAGGCGTACCGAATGCCCTTTATTGGTTTGGCACGTAAAACTTTGATTTGATTCGCTGGGTCGGCCCCCCGGAACGTGGGAGTGAGTGTGGCCGCGCATTCCCAGGACTACATGGTGCTGCTGCCCGAGGCATTCTACGAGGCGACGCTGCTGCAGGAGCGGGTGCGCCACCCGTGCCTGCGGGGGGGCAACATGGCGGGCCCTTGCCGCCAACTGCGCTACCCGGCCCTGCCGGACACGGCCGTGCCGGTGGCCGCCGCCCAGGGAGCGGACGGACAGGGTGCCCCCGTGCAAATTCTCGACGACGCGGACGTCCTGGAGGTACGAGAGCTCGGCTCGGGCCGTGGCTTGAAAAGCTTTCTTGTGGATATCTCCAACTCGTGTGCTTTGTCTGAGAACCGTGTGGCAGCACTTCAAATGGCGCTTACAATGTAGGTAGGCGTCATTAGTAGGTAGATAGTAGGTAGACCTCAATGTATCTACCGGCCCTGGGCCGGTTTGCTGATCAAGGTGGGTATCGCTCTCGACGGGTTAACCACCCGGAAGAGGAATTTTGAAGTCACTACGCGGGGACAAGAAACCAGGGTATCTAGCGCATAGGTGTACGGCTGCCGTAATTTCCTTCCCTCTTTGAATACTAAAGTTTGATTCCAGGCACAAACACAGGAACGAACTCGATTATGGCCGCCAGTGAAGGTTTCGGTGTCCACGGTCCTCCAGAATCGATTCGACAAACGGCGTCGACCCACACCCTCCTCAACTCTGAGTTTTTGAGGAACCGGTGAAAACACAAGCTTGGGTTGCGCAGCAGGTTGTTTGCACAACCCACAGCTTGGCAAGGAGTGCTCGGCATTGTGCAACGATGCCAGTCCCTTGGGCTCCTCGCACTTCGGCAGCACGACCCGATTGAGCGAGCAGGGAGTCGAGAATCTTTGTGCACGGTCGCTGAGGAGCACTTACAATCAACAACCACTAAAGCGTAACATAACGAGCAGAAATCTTACGCTGGGACAGCTGAAAACAAAGCAGAAAAGCATGGTAAGGGAAGTGGCAATACGAACAAGTAACCTGCTTGAGTGCGGACGTGACGACGGGGCCCAAGGTTTCTTGGGCCCCGACGCCAACTCGCCGAATGCCCGAGGATAAGCTGGTGGTAACATCTTTAATATCGGTTTTAGAGTGGATCGCACTTTCTCATTAGCGTAATATTTTGGCAGTGCTCGTATTTAGTCTCCGTGAATCGATACCAGTCACTTATTTTAGTTCGACAACTAATTCGAGTTACCCTTTAAGGGAAGACATGGGTCTTTGGCACTAAAAACTCCCTAAAATATCATAGTTTTGGAAATTACTATTTTAAAAATGCAGCTATTTTTTTTTGTGATCTACCACTTTTTTCATTTTTTAGACCAGTATTTGAGCCATGATATAATTTTATAGTACCGCTGCGGGCTGAATTTGCATTGAAGTTCGTACTAAAACAGTGCTTTCTTAAGAGGGATTCACCGGCAATTTATTTGTAGTCTCTTCCTTCTAGATGGTGCTAAACTTTTCCGGAACAAACGACCTGCTCCCAGTTTGGTATGCAGCTCAGGGTTGGCTTGGGACACAAGTTGTTGACCGTCGATTTAGGCGAGCTGTAGATATTGTTCGCGGAACATGAGCCAGTGATGTAGAACTGGCTCCAAAGTTAGAACCACGTTTCAACCATTTGAATGCACCTATTTAACGTGAACGCCACATTTGTCGATTGCGTTGTGCATTGGTTGTATACGCTGGTTGTCTTCATTTGCAGACAACCTCTGTACTGTCACAAGTTATGGAGTCGCCAGCACAACCGGCACCTTGATTGCATGTACCGGGCTCGTCTGGTGACAACAAATAGGAGGCAGTGCGTTGCGATGGAGTTTAGCAGCGAGAATTTCGCTGTTAAACTTCGCTTCGTGCAATCCATTCTTTAGACGTGGATAAATGATGACTATCGTTTGATCATGTACAAATTGCAATCGTAGGCAGAGAAGGACTTTTGACCGGTACAGTTTTCAATGTTCGTACTTATGCATGCATTACTCGCTTTCTGTTGCAACGAACATGCGCATGCTAGGCCATGAAGATCGCGAGCTGAGCTGTGTGGTGTTCAATAGCCGAGTAGTTTGTAAACAAAGGGCTTAAAGCCGGTGCAGTGCTCAATATTCGTGCGCATGGTGGGTGCTTTGCTCGCTTTCCGAATCAATGAATAAGCGTGTGCTCGGCGGAAAAGATAGCATGCTGGCTGTGATTTTGTAAACATCGGAACGGTATATAAGCATCTGTCAGCGTCTGCTCTTGCACGCTATATGGAGCACAAAAATTTAACGAAAAAGAGAACACATCCTTAGCTTCTTATATCAAAATGATAACAATGCTTTCCTTTTGGCTTTTTATAAATATGCATATAAATGTATATACATACGCAGTTATCCCGTGTCGTAGCTGTGTATGCTTCCATCACTGTTCCGTTCGCAGCAATATAACCTAGTTTGGACACAGTATAGCCTACAAAGCAGTTCTTTTTTGCGTCATAAGACCCGTGATCCCCATCATTGTGGCGGTCGCCCCCGGAGCTGCACAGCGGGCCCATGGCTCACCTGGACGAAGACCACGGGTCCCTGCGGCTGGACCTGCGAGTGCCCAGGGCCGGGCCGCACGCCCTGGTCTTCTTCTACCACTCGCTGGACAATGACGGCTCTGTGGCCGCAGACCTGGTGCTGTCGGGCGCCGACCGGCTGGCCACGGGCAGGGCAAACTTCCACCACTGCAACTACAACCTGCTCTGCCGACAGGTGCGCTGCACGGGCTGCTTTGCTTCCGCCGCGCTCTGCACACTGCTCAGATGTTGTGTCCATCCCACCCATTCCATGTCTTGGTTCTGGTGCCGAGTAAAAATGGTGCCATCGTTTTTGCGAGATTCGTTTAGATATTTTGTGCCCTTTCAGCCTGTTCTTTCGCCGGGAGATCATCCTCTCATCTTGTTCGATTGATTACACAGTTTTATTTCTAGCACTGGCCTGTTACACAAGTTCCAATACAACACGTGTCTCTCAGGTCACATGTCATACTAAAAGAATGTGATGTGTAACCTAGTTTGGTGCATTTTGCACCATAAAACGCTTCATCATCAGGTTGCTTTGTTTGGAGGCTAACCTGCGGAGTTGATGGCCTTTCTTAGGGCTAATATGTCATGTGCATAATTCATTCCTTGAACATTGAATGACTACAATTACTTACCTGCATCACTTCTATCAGTTGTTGACTACACACTTTTGTCGTACAGCTATTGCGAACTATCAGTTCCTTATTGTTTAAAAATTGTACAAGGCCTCTCAGAAAAAAACTTTACACTCTTTTTAGTTACGAAAATTACCTATACACTCCGTGCGGGAACTATAGGGGGCGCTTTGAAAAACGCGAGCAGCGCCGCTAGCGGAGGAGCTGGCGTTCGACTGTGAGACGCGTTCAGCAGCCTGCGGCGCCTTTTCGCATGCCAAGCTGTGGCGGCGGAAGCGCGCACAGACGAAACTTTTGCTTTTTGAGCTGATAAGTTGAGGGTGACGTTGCATGAGTGCTGGGGCAGAAGGGCATTTAGCTGTTCTCCACTTCTTATATATTGAGTTTGAGTCGTAATTAGGGGTAATTTCTCTAGTTGCGGCCGAAAAAGGAGTTGGAGTAATTTTCCGAAAAACAAAGAGGGCCGCCACCTTAATTGATCCGAGTGGGAAATTTATTTCGCTCGTCACTGTAAACCTAGGACTGCTGCAAAGATGATATTTGGAGGCGAGTGAGATGTTCACTAAGTTTGTGCACGAAGAGTGCCAAGTTTCTTTAAGACAGCAGGTGTGAAAGTTATGTTTTTAACGAATAAAGAAATAAAGCTGTACGGGATATCCAATATTGGTCCCTAAATGTGCCTACCCGGTTACCACGGGGATGCCACCAGGGGGAACCACGACAACTGCCTCATCTGTGCCTGCCCGATCCCGTTGCCCTCCAACAAGTGAGTTCCAGTGACAGGAAATCAAAGACGACTGCTTGACACCCGCTTCTTTTTATTTCTTTTCCAGCTTCGCCGACAGCTGCGAAGTGTCTCCGAGCGGACAAGAGATTAGCTGCAACTGCAAGAAGGGCTACTACGGACCTCGTTGCGACGTGTAAGCATGACCTGTCTTGTTTTAACCTGTTAATGGGCCGAGGCATCTCGGAGTGTGTTGGAACAACTGCAAACTCGAGCAAAACTTTGGATGGACAAAACTGATGACCTATTGGTCTGTTGATACCTTCTATTGGCATAGGATCATTGGCTGCTTCGGTCTATCAATGTATCATTCTGCACGTATTTGGTCTTTTGACATACGAGCCCCATGCATAGACGCACGACTGACGTCGCACCACTGCCATGACGCTGCTACGGGCGCTGATACTTTATGCGTGAATCTGGTTTCTGTGCACACGCAGTGCTCACACCTGGCGTTGGCAAACACGGACTTGTTTGTAAACACCCTGATGTTGGTCTATAGGCATTTTACCGAGAGTTTCACGAGAGATTCAGTTTCTCCTGGATATGTGCATTTTTTGAGCCTTAATTATTTTTCTTTCATGCATGCACGCTCTTTGTTGCACAGTCACAAAGCAGGCTCACAGAGTTTTGGCTAAATGAAAAAACCGGTCTTCCATGCAGCTGTGATGCGGGCTACTTTGGCGAGCCCGACGTGATTGGCAGCAGCTGCAAGCCGTGCGAGTGCAGCGGCAACATTGACCCGGCCAACCCGGCCTCTTGTGACTCGGTGACGGGGGAGTGCGTGCTGTGCCTCAACAACACGTCCGGACCCGCCTGCGAACTGTGCGCTCCGGGATTCTACGGCGACACCATCTCTGTCAAGGACTGTCGCAGTAAGCGCTTGCCTGCTCCAACTGACAGTCCAACTAGGGAATGGAAACATCTTAAATTAAGATGCTTCCCTTCGCTAGGGTGTGAGAATGAAACCTTTGTGCACTGTTACTGTGCAGATATTGTGAAGGATAGCGTATTTGCAGGTTTAGTATCTTACAAAGTGTTCTGTAATAGTGGCATCATCATTGGGTGAGAAGTTGCGGGACTTATGACGCAGGGGGTAATTTTTAGAGGTATCACCATTTAAAAAGAAAGAACCTGCGTAAGGGTTCTTTTATCTTAGAAACTAGGTTGCTCGAAATGTCTGTTGCAGTACATCGTAACGCCCATTGTGGTACATTGTAACATGAAATGTTGTAAAGGGATTACATACGCAGGCATTTACTCGCAACATTGCACTCGATCGTTTATTGTGTAAGAGGGCCCCGTAGCTTTGAAGCAACTGCATCCATTGCCGGCAGTGTAACGGGAGCCTGCGTGCTTTCTCTCGCAGAGTGCTGCTGCAACCAGTGCGGCATGCACTCCTGCAATCCCCTCCAGGGCACCTGCAACTGCCACTCCAACGTGGAAGGGAGCCTCTGCGACTGTTGCGCAGTAAGCTGCCGTAGTTGACCGCTCATCACCGCAATATCACTGTGTCATCCTGCACCCTCTGGCAGTATGAGTGGTATACGCTGTCTCGTGGTGGCCTCCCATTTGGCCGAGTGAAAACTGTTCTGATGTTAGCCTGAGACTGAGGCAGGAAAAGAGGAAGTTTCAAAGTAGAAGAAAAAGGAACAGTCGAGGATACGTCTCTATGAAAACTGTAGTTTCATTGGAAGCATACAAATAACATTTTATCTTTTGATCGGAAAACAGCTTAGGATTGACTAGGATCGTAGAAATTTTCAAATAATAGTTTCGATTAATACACTATTCAAAATTTGCTTCCAGGTGACTGTGATATTAATATTTCTTCAGTGTTGATGACGGCGGGTCAATCCCGAGTGCTGTGTTTCTTGCCGAGCACTGGTGCTCCGTGGAGAAGCAGCACCCGCAGATGGTAGCTCCGTGGGTGCTGTTTCTCCGGAGCGTACCGGTGCTCGGTAAGAAACCTGCTCAATGGGGCTATGCTGCCGCGATCAGCGCTTGGAAAAGTAAATATTGGAGTTGCGTGAGCTTTGTGAACGTTATCATCTGTGTAGCGGTAAAATGAAAAGAATTAGACTGTGCTTATTATGCAGGAGCATATATTAGAGGGCAACCTGCGTTTATCATTAGTGACTGCCTTTTCGTTGTACATAAAATACGAGATTGAAGAAAAGATTTTTTTTATGCACAAAGATGTAGTATAAATCCCCTCGATTACCGTAAAATACCGATCAAGCAGGTACTCAAAATTTGAAGATAATCGCGAAAAAATAGGGGATGGGCGCATGTGAGGTCATCAATTTTACATGTAGGGTGGTTCAAGTCACCAGGCTTGATCTAAAATGGACCGTAAAAATCGACTCCTGCACGTAGCCATGTAAACTTTTCGTCAAAGGTGTATTTCACAGGTCGGTTTTTTCTTGTAAAATTACAAAAGCGTAGCTCTCTTTCTGTAAAAATTAAGGCCAAGAACCTTGCCAGGGTCTAAGGCAGGCAGCAACGCAGATGACAGAGTTCCGGTAGCGGGGTGTGTTTGGCATTCGTATTGATAGATGGCGCTCCCTCCTGATTGCGACGGCTCGCGACCACCGTGGTTTATTAAAATGAATATAATCTTTTTGAAATGTACCTTCGGTTAAAAAATAAATGCAAACAATAAAAGCAAAACTTAAGTAAAGAAACGCGTCTGCATAACGGTGGCGCTTTTTCTGCCAACGGATTTCGTCTGCTATCTTTCGCTGGTCGGCTGCACCTTTAGGCGCTGCTCTCCGACGCCATCTATCAATACGAACGCAAAACACACCCTGCTACTGGACTTGGTCGTCTGGGTCGCCGTCCGCCATAGACCCTGGCAGGTTTCTTGGCCCAATTTTTTTTACTAAAAGAGAACTACACTTTGTAATTTTACAAGAAAAAACCGACCTGTGAAACACATACACCTTTGACGAAAAGTTTACATGGCTACATGCAGGCGTTGATTTATATGGCCCATTTTAGGTCGAGCCTGGTCACTTGAACCACCCTTATATATATGTCCTGTGCATATTTTTTCAGATATTTTAAATTTTGAGGGTAGGCGCTTAGTGCGGAATGGGTGGATGCACAGTATTCTACGGTAGGTATATCGGGGTATCTCTAAAAGTTTAAAACCTTAGGCATTAAACTTTCTGAGGCCGCAGTCCATAAATATAGTTGTATATGAATTTAGCTTAGAAATGGACTTCTAAGTGAAAGCTTGGGAACACCCTTATGAGTTCAGCAGGATTTTCGTTTAAGCATGGTGCAGTAGTGAAAGGCTCAGAGAAACTCTTCCATATTCGATTAGAAAATATTCGGCCAAAATCACTATCCGCATCAAATTCGCTTTGAACTCAAAATCCCCTCGTGCCTAGAGTAAACCCATGGAATCGGTATGATGCAAATGAGAAACAGATGTCTTGTGTCATCGTCAACGAGCATATGTATTGGTGCCGTGGCATACTCGTGTCGGAGTGCTTTCCCTAGTGGAGTAATTTTCGAGCTTATCAGCTTCTCATCTTATGACCATAACCTCTCTGTTTGTGGACCATTTAAAAAAATTCAAACGCCAAAAGATTTATCTCGTCGAGCTGCATGTGTTAAAAAAAATGTGCTTCAAAAAACTACTTTCTTTTTACAGCGGAGCTGTTCAGGGCTAGTTTCCCCAGCATCGTGTTCGTCAGCAAACAAATGATTACACAAAACTCTGGACAGCTACCGCCATCTGTGAGTGACGGTGGCAACCAGACAACTGGCTTGCCGGTTGTCTGGTTGCTACCGCCGCTCATAGATGGCGGCAACGTTTCCAGCCTTTTTACTCTGGTTTTCACCAGAGTGGAAAGGCTGAATTTCTGTAGGCGTCGTCTAAGAAGTCGTCCAACAAGTTGTCCTTGAGGTCGTCTGACCATAGTACAGCTTTGCTGGTCTTCCTTCTTCACCAGAGTGGAAAGGCTGAAAGTTTTTTATGTAACATTTGTTGAGAGCTGAAAAGTTTCTGTTTACGTGCTTCAAGAATGGTCAGTCGTGGCTTGATGGGACATATTTTAGGCCTTTGTTGGCTGCTGAAGATGCTCTCGAGTTGACCGACCGGGTTCTTTCTATTGCACCTCATTTCTGGGTTTCGGCACCAGATGAAAGGACTTCTGGTCGTTATTTTAATCGGCAGTAAACTTTTACGTGTCATTTCTGCATTGAAGGAAGGATGTCAGCCAGTTGAAATGGTTGAAGCTCATGCTGCTGGTTTTGTTCCCAGTGGCTCTTTCCTCATCGCTGTTTTGCCTAGAAGTTCTAAAGTACCGGCGTGTTCTTCTTGGCCCGCCTTTTAAGGATGCTCAACATTTTGGGCGGACAAACCGCCCTTGGGCTTGCGGTGAGTGAGTGGGCGTGTGTCTGGCCGTGCAGCCCAACCACTGGGGGTTCTCGGAGTGCCGAGGCTGCCGCTCGTGCGACTGCAGCCTGGCCTCTCAGTCCAAGCAGTGTGACCTGGAGACGGGACAGTGCCCCTGCCAGCCGGGGGCTGGAGGGCCGCGCTGCGACGTCTGCGAGCCGGGCTACTGGCGCTATTCGGCCGACGGATGCATCTGTGAGTGGCTCTTTCGCGAGCGCCCACAATACCGGCGCATCTTCAATCGTGGCGTTCATTGCGCCTTTATTTCTGGTTTCCCGATATTCGCCTCTTGGTGCCGCCTCATGTGTTCGTCGTGTCCTCGTTTTTGGCTTTTCAATCCTCGTTTTTGGCTTTTCAATTTCCGCCTCGTGATGTCGCGTTTAGTTGCTGACTGTGATTTAAGCAGGGGTGAAGCAGCAGTTATGGTGGACGTCTGTTTTGCTGTAGGGTCAGTCGACGGAGACTCCGGCAGCCAGGAATTGAAAGGCTGTGACAGTGGCGACCCGTTCGTAGCTTCGCCTTCTTTGCTCGCACTTTTGAGACCAACAGCGAGAATTGCGACCACTGGCGGACCCTGCCACTGCCTCCTGGGTTGTAATTTGTTGCCGCTTTTGTACCACTTTGCATGCTCGTGCAGTATAGGACATTAAACGCACCTGTTGGAAACTTGTTTCAGTTACTGTAGTGACAAGTCATTTATGGGTGCCTGTAATAGTATTAGAGGAACGCAACTATGAGGGCGTAACTATCGAGAAAAATTGTTTATGGCCAGTGATTGAACTTTGATTTTGTGCAAAAACCACCTGTGGAGAATCCACTGTTTGGTGCTTCCCCCACTTTTTTTTTCCTCAGTCATGTATGATAACGATGAGGGTGCAGACCTTGTTATATTGTTGGATACTGTAAAGAACTTTATCTTTGCGAGCTCAATATTTAGTCATTTTTGGAGGCACAAAGTTTTGCGATTTGGAGTAAAATGTTATGGGAAAGGGGCGAATATTACCCCTTTCCCCATGGGGTGATATATTCGCGTAAAAGATGTTTTTCGAAATTGTTCAAGTTGCGAAATTGGCAAAAATTAGGTCCTCAAGAAAATCAAGTAATGTGTAGCGTTGAATGCCGAATAGTGACTGCGAGGGATTGTCGTTTGGCTCTAAAAAACAAGGTCAGATGGGTAGAGAGAGCAAGCTGGAGCAAAAAAGGCAGTTAGAGAATGGATTTCGTCGAAGCCAGTCGCCCTGGCTTTCGTTAAACAATCTCACCATCACCAACAAAGTCGTCGGCCCAGGGGAGCGCTTCAATTCTCAATATGTATCTTAGAAGTAATAGGCTGCCTGAGTCAGATACATATTCATTAATAAATATATAAAATCCATAACGCACAATTTTATTACCACTGAAATGCAGAAAAACATGTCAATTTAGATAAACTTTCAACAAAAAGGTTCAGGGGACTGAAATGACCCCAAGGACTTCTTGAGTCTGACATCACATTCTTCTCTGTCCTTGTCCTCTGGTTTTGGTTCGAGCTTGCTTTTTATAGAAACTCTATAGAAAAAACATATTTGGGGTAGTGTCCTGGCATCTAATTTCAGTGCTTTGCATGGAAAAGTAATTTTTATGGTTCGTCGGAGGGCGTTTCATGTGGCAGATGCTCTCCGAATGTCGTCCAACAATGTGCCTCGTGTTTCAGCGTGCAACTGTGCGGCCAAGTTTTCGGCGGGTGCCGTGTGCAACCAGCAGACGGGCCAGTGCCAGTGCCTGCCCGGCGTGGAAGGGGACAAGTGTGACCGGTGCCCCTACCGATGGGTCTTCGTGGAGCGCGAGGGCTGCAAGGGTGGGCTTCCATTCACCAGCCATGACAGGCTCAAATAGGGCGCCTTAAATGCGTGGTCACATTGTGAGGGTTTTGTGAATGTATGAAGAGTTCGCAATGTCATGTGATGTCATGGTGTGACGTGGCGTCACCTTGTCAAGTGACGTCAGGCTTCCTAATATCTGCACTACTGTTGACAATGTTCTCTAGGCTTGTGCACTGCTTTGTTGTACCACTGCCTCTAGTGGGAGGGGTTTTCTTTGCTGACAGTCAAGAGAGAGGGGGGGTCTGTCACAAAGTTTCAGAATCCTTGAACACAGAAAAGAAAGACGCGTCGTGTTATGTTGCAGAATGACCTCATGTCATCGTCCTAAGACAGATGCCTGCAGATGAATGCACCCTATAGATTCAAAGAATAAGTGCCAGAAAAAAGGAAGCAAAAGGAGTAGGTGTCCTTCTGTGACAGAACACGTAAACGTTGCAACCAATCGTATAAATCAAAAGGTTAAAAAGATTTTTTTAAGGTTTGTCATAGGCTGACAACCTCTCTGGGTGGCACATATAATTCAACTGCTTTATTTTAATGATTAAAAAGCATGAGAGGACAACGGACACAGAAGGAGACACAGACACAGCGATAAGCACTGTGTCTGTGTCTCCTTCTGTGTCCGTTGTCCTGTCGCGCTTTTTAATCTTTAGGAATCACCAACAAGCCCAACTTTCTACTCTCGTCTGCTTTAGTTTTATTGCGCACATCACGTGTGGTAAAGGAACCGTTGCGCATTACAGCCAGTAGAATTGAAGAAGCAGTTAAAATATTTAGACTGAACTATGCGTGGTGCGATGGATGGCCGAGTGTGTTATTGCATACCGGCTCGTAGCATGAGGAGCGAATGCTCGTGCTGCAGACCCCAGGGATCCCGGGCTCAGTCTCCACCGCTACCCATTTCTATCTTTACAAACATCGTACCGACGTGCGGTCGTCTGTCACCATTGCGCAGTGCACGTTAAAGACCCCAGGTTGGCAGTTGTACTGCACTGGATAAATTTCTCAGCTACAGTCCTAAGAAATCTGAAAAGTCTACATTCCAGTCGTTCTGATTTACAGAGCGAGCTTGGCAAATGATGAGGCTGGATATATAAAGACTTAAAAAGCATTGTGCGCTGCGCGACTGGGCATGACGTTTCATCGCACCTACTGTCTCAGCAAAGAGTTCTTTAAGCCTAAACATAGAGTTTAAGCTGGTTATAACAGACTTTGATTTTGACCGAGATTTCGGTCTGTTGTAAGAGGAGTATGTTGTATCAGATATGAAGTTGAGTCAATGGCATGTAAAGGAAAACCAACCGAACTTCATAGATCGGTATGTTATATCCAAATGTTTGTTGTAACGAGCTTAGACTGTATTTACAGCCTTGTCATTTACCGAGCTCTCTTTATGGATTGCAGCGATTGACTCACCCAAGTGCTTTGCAGGAAAGTAGGGACCAGATGTACATTGGGGCTGTCTTCACTTCTTGCCGTCTAAATGTGCACACAGCACAATTCACCGATGTGCGTTGCTTACGGACGCAGAGTGTGGCGAGTGCGTGCACGCCCTGCTGGATGACACGGACAGCCTGGAGCAGATGATCGACAACATCGGGGACGAGATGCGTGACATCTCTTCCACTTACCTGGCCAACCAGCGGCTGCAGCTCGTCAACCAGACTGCGCACGACCTGAAAGTGGGTCCCTCGTCTTTCTTTCAAATTATGGGATGTACTTGTATTTCCCCAAAGAACTGTAGTCATCAAAATTGGCGGCATGTTTGGTCAACCTCCCAATCGCATTTAAATGCTGTAGCTTTAAAGGTTAAGCGGTGCTTATAGTTTGGATGGTGCCTGGGGCAGGGTTTCTTATGGAAACGAATTGCATCACACCATTGTCTCTTTCTGACACTGAGCGCGCTTCCCTTCAGCACCCCCCGGATGCAAAGCCTTTGCACTGAATTTTCTGGGTCACCTAGAGAAGTGAAGCACGCTTTCTCGCTCTTTCCACCCCTCTGCTCTTCGTGCCACCTTACACCACCTGCTTCTGCTCCTCCCGTTTTTGCGTGCTGGGCTTGTAGCTCGGTCAGCACCGCACTCGGCTTCCACGCCGGTGGCGGGTTCAATCTCTGGCACCGGTCACCGCTCTTTTTCGGAATCGTCTAGTGGTTAGAAACTGACCTACCTACACATTTTGTGCTTGGGCAGCTCCTGAGGTTGGCTGGCCCTATAACGCTAACGCCTTAAAAGTGCAGCTCCTTGCGGAGCATCAATTATTTTCTTCTTTATGTAGCAAATTAAAATATATCTTGGTGGCATTTAGATTAGCTGTAAATTATTTTATCAATTAAGACTACAAATTCCAAAGGCCAAGAGCATTGTTTCCTTCTCCCACAATCAAATCTTGTAAGAACTACCTCGCGCTACGTATGAACCGTGAGCAAAGCTTACTTTTTTCTTGAGTTATTGAGAGCAATGTTATTAGGTGCACTCAGGTGCGGAAGTTTGCGTAGGCGCTCTGGACCTGTTTCATGTAACATACCGTAAAATACCGAGCAAGTGTCATGCAAAGTTAAAGATAGCAAGTGGTGGTTTGGGCTGGTAGGTCTGTCGTGTACGAGAAAGCGGCACCTAATAAACGTAAGGAAAAAAATAGACAGAAACAGTACAGAGTGCTCCTGTTTTGTCTATCATTGCCCTGGCATTTATTTGGCACTGTTTTCTTGTACGGGAGATCATTTAAAAATATGGGGATGAGTGCTTGTTCGGTTTGAAAGCAGAAAAGCAGAAGGGCTACGTGGTAGGGCAGGTTTTTGTTTGATCCGATTGAACAGTATAGGAGATATATAGGGGTCTGGCAAAACCCTAATTTTCAAAGCAGACATGGCACTCTCGTCAAGCCTGCTCTACTGCATCGCGCTGTCTTCTTGAAGAGGCATCCAGTGTGGTGAAGCACTTCAGTTAGCTCGGTGGGCTCAGAAGTTTGTTGGGATGGACGCTTCATATTTTCTCGGCTTATATTTGAAATGTTTCTGTAGTAAGGGGTGGGCACTTATTGAGACATGGGTGCATACTCGGTTTTGAATGCGAAAGCATTAACTGTCTCATGAAGCGAGCCGACGTCATCACCTTTGAAGCCACGCAAACGGCTCTTAAATGCTCTCCAAATCAAGCTAGCTCCCATTCGCCGGTTAGCCATGGCACCTTTTACGCCGTTTCGATCCCATTGGCTAGCGCACGTCGACCAGGCTCCCATTCGCCGGACACGCGGCGCCAGGTCAGCGCCAGCCGGCGCGCCAACACGCGTAGAGCAAGAATGATGCACATGCTTTCGCACTCACAACTCATAAGAAGTGCTTAGGTGTACCTCAGTTTTTTTTCTTGGTATTTCAGGCTTCAAATCTCACCGGATTTCATGGTGGACACCTATGCTCTGTGTATTATTGGTCACAAAGGCAGTGTTTTCCAGCTCGCTCAAATTTCCTTCTTTTGTAATCGACTGCGTCTGATGGAGCAGCTGATGAGATAAAAGAGCTTCGGGTGGTACTCAGTTTTTATACATACCACTTTTTATTATGGCTAAGACGAGCCGGCGCTCGAGAAGTCGGCTTGTTGAATGAAATGGCTCCGGCATATGCTGCCGATCTAGTTCTCAAGGGGGAAAAAACGGAGTACTGTTGGGTTTAAACGGATACTTCAACAATATTTGAAAGATTCCCGTTGTGTTCAAAAATAGGTTGAATATGATTCCTAATATCCGTAAATGACAATCGCACGTTTGTATATTGATTCTGGTGGCTGTATTTTTCGTTATAAACGGCCCACTCTGGCAAGCGCTCGGAGAAGGCCCAGCGGAGACCACGTGACATCCAACGCAATCGTGACGTAGGTCGTCTCAAGACGAGCAAAGCTACGGCGAGGCTGACGTCGAGAGGATGGCCTAGTCGTTCCAGCCACCGAAGCGGCTGCTTTTGTACGAATTTTGAGCGACGGGTTAATCTTCTATAATCTTGTAGGGGGACAATAACGACTACTGCGGCACACAAAAGGCATTCTCGGGAAGAGGGGAGTTCCTCCTTTCCCCCTTCTCTCGTCGTGGCCGGAGGCGAGACAACCTCCGTCACTAGCTGTCAAGGTTCCTAGACGGACATTACAAGCGAGGCGTTAGTGACATCCATCAGGTGCTCTTTGCTAATCGTTTAATTAGTCTTAAAATTTCTTTTCGAGCCTTTTTTACAAGATATTGGTATGTTCGATGTGATGCTGCTCCTTTGAACACATATAGACCAAGAAATGAGCGCCGAAATTTTGTTGTAGTACCCCTTTAAGCGACCCAAATACAGCCCCAATTCTTCAGTTCTGTCATTGATCGAGCTAATAAACAATTCCTTACATGCAAACGAACAGGGAAAATAATGGAAAATGTTCCCAGCTTTATATTTGGATATATATAAATTTTATTATGCTCACAATGGTATGGTCCCTTTGAATATATTATCTGAAATGGGCTCATACTTCCCAAGTACCATGTTGAGGCCGGACTTCATGGAGCAAATACGGTGAAATAACACTCAAACAAACTTTGAGGGACCTAAAAAAAAAGTTTGCTAAAGTGGGAGTTCACTTAATTGGATGCAGTGGACATAGTGCTGTTTTGCTGGGCAAGTTTACACAATTTTCTTCAACTGTTTGTTTTAGTGGTGTTTCACCGTATGCCGCAAACAATCAATGAACTTTACCCGACGGCGCGTTCGCTTTGTGCAAAGTCTAACAACTGCCGTTGCGATGCCACGTGCAGAGCAAACGTTGGTGCACCGAATTTGTCGCCTCTTTTTCTCGACAGAGTACTCTCCGTGCTTTGCGAGACTACGAGAAAATAAAATAAGACGCTCTTTCCCTCGACAGGAGCAGCTGATGAGCTTCAGCGGAAAGCCCGCCTCCCTGGACGTGAGCCCCCTGGCGCAGAACGTCAGCGATCTGGAAGCACTGGCCTCGACAGTGCGCAAGGACGTGAGTCATTCTCTCGCCTTCATTACTATGGTGCCTGGAAAGCTTCTCCGTCCACCCACTCACATCATGAAGTGTTGTCGCCTCCCACGATCCACACAAAAGCGGAGGTAGATGCGGTAGGCTGCTCTCTGGCTTGACTCTCCACAAAAGCTTCGGCGGCCATTAGTTGCGATGCGTTCGCTCCTAGTTTTTTGCCAGACCTTGTGGTTCTCCTTTGGGCCACTGCCTTTGGGAGTACCACGTTCGCGGTGAGACGCTCTACCACGAAGCGAGTTCGTACTCGCATGGCATGCTGCTCTTTGAGCGCAATCAGACACCAGTCACGTTGGTGACGGTGATAAACTCTGTTTATTAACAACGAAACAAATAAGAAAACAGCGGCTATCAGCTGGTGAACGCCGTTGGTGTGGAAATCGCCCACGGCCGAACAGTCGTTCACAAAGATACAAAGGACGAGGTAAATGCTCACCGGTGCGCCGGGCGGTTCCCCGTTGTCGCCGCCGCCGAATCCCAGGAAGAAGAGAGAGAAAGATCTCGCTGTTCGCTGGTTTTAAGATAACGGCGGGGCGAAGTGGCTAATCAAGGAGCGACACGTCTATCTCCTTTCTGCGGGGGTTCATTACGAAAATCGCCCCCAGGGGGGAAAGGAGGAAGCCACTCAGTGATAACCAGTGCCACCTCTCGCTACGTCAGCGCGGCCGCCACGGCGCGCCAAAACGCTGACGCGACAGAATGTTCAGGGATCACGATCCCCACAACCTTCTTCGACAAGCTGTCAGGATCGCGACGTCCGACAGCACGACATGATGGCTTCTGCAATGCCAGTTGCCACTCGGAGCCGCTTTTGATGCATTGCCAGTATGGGATGCCAAGCTCACCGGTCAGAGACGCGTTTCGGGTGCACAACGCCTGGAACACGCCTTTGACTGGTGTGTTTACTGCACTACACTCTCTGTGTGTTGCAAGTGGCTGGGATGTGGCCTCAGATTAAGTCGCAGAAGACGGTCTGTCATGCTGTTGGATGTCGCGATTGTGACGGTTGGTGGTAGAAATGCCGGCAAAAAAGGCGACTGGAAACAACGGTCCCCGCCGTCCCAGTGTCCCATTTCGGGTCTGCTTCGGTTTCCATCGACCGTCTGGCTGCTAAACGAGCTGCAGCGGAACAGGCATCTGCAGCTCATGCCGCTGCTCCGCCACCGCTGGGATCACGCCGGCGCGACAGACGTGCAACGTGATCGGGTGGAAATGGAGGAATCGGCAAACCGAGACGTTGTAAATCACGCCACGCGTAACGGGTGCTGTACCTCTGGGGAGGGCGCGCAACCACCGACGATTTCTGCTCTTTTTCGTGCAGGCTTCGAGCCTGGCGCTCTCGGCTACGGCGAACAACCACACGGCGTACAAGACAAGGCTGGAAGCCGACCGGGAAGAGCTCAACGTGGAGAAGACGGTCCAGGAGATGCGAGGTACCGTTTTGTGCGTTTTAATTTAAAGCTCGGCTGCTTCCGTCGAAGTAGTTGACGACGTGTCACGACGGCCGACGAACGAGGAAGCCAGCGTGGACGAGGGTAGAAAGGAAAGCGGCTGGTGAGATTTAAGGGTCAGCCAGGTGTCTTTTTAATCTTGACAACCGCTTCCTTCTTTCCCTCGTTGGATTTGTGTCTTCCTCACTAGACCCACTGAGTAAGCTACGCTCGGCGTATCGGCACTGTATTCCCCCGATTGTCTTGCGGGCATTGCCATTTTGTTGCCTGTGCAGAGCGGGTGCAATGGGCGGCCATTACGATTTGAAAATGCGGCTTTTCGCACTTTAGATACGGCGTATTTCCTGAAATTTCAGATAATGTGTGTCGTAAGTAGGGCTCGATGTTTTCGATGACGACTGAAACATTGTGAAGAACTGGGCAATTGTGTTGCATGTTAAACGTGTGGCATCTATGCTCTCTTTTTGTGCGTTAGTTTTTGTGAGCTGGCTTAATGCGTGGCATGTGCACTCGATTCCTGGCGCTGACCCGGGTTTTCAAAAGGTGTGACAGGGTGTCCAGTTGACATCTGCCAGACGCAGAGTGGACGCCCTGCAGGGCTTTTCTTCCAAATAGCAGCTCTACTTACGCCGACGTGTTGTGACATGCTGGAAAAACGCCCACTTAATAAATCTTAATGGTCTGGGTGCGATTTTCACTAAGTGCAAACGCACTTTTACTGCCGATGGCCTCTTCCCCCCGCTCAAAACGAATCAGTGTCAAGCCTTACAGCCACACTTTGATCCAGGTTTTACTTTTGGGCTTCACGAAATGCAGAGCTCCTAGCCAAAGAATGTTTTGCACTAAAAATTGGAGGAAACACCAAAGAAACCCTAATTGGAACTGTCCTTGGATGAGAGAATTCCAGTAAGCTTTGGAGAAAGAAGAGCCTTATGTACAGCTTTATTCTGTACTGACCCGGGACAGCCCCCCGAACTGACCCTCATTGCAGCTGCTTTCGTCAAGAACTGTGCCATGCCAGTTTTCTCCTTTCATCTTCTCATCGGTACTAGGATGTTTTACAAGTATTTGCATCACGCGTTTGTTTCGTTGAGGAGCGAGGAGTTCGACGTCCATGTCTTATTTTTTTAACTTAAGCACCCATAAGTGCAGATTTTTTGCCTGACATCCAAAATTTACTATGAAAAACACTGAATCCAAGAAGAAAAATAAACCCAGAGAAAACAGCCCCAAACTAAGAAAAATAAACCCCCAAAAGTGTGAAGCATAGCTCTTCTAGCTGCTCCATTCTGCCCCGTCTCTTTAGACATTCTGAGCAGCCTGACAGCCTTCTCCGAGGGCCTGGGCTCGACTTCTACCGCCAACGTGGAGCCGCTGCTCGACGAAGCCACCCGCATCGTGGAGCTTCTCAATGCCACCGAGTTCATGAGGCCCTTCGCCGAAGCAGAGGAAGAGCTGGCGCAGGCCAGAGAAGGTGGGTGTTTCGTTCACTTCTCCGCCGCCGCGATGGATCGATCCATTGCTTTGGTTCTAATGGCACTAAGGTTGCCTCCGTCGGCCAACCGGACACGCGCTTCGAAAACCGCGCCGGCGATTTAAGATGGCTCCAAATCTACTGCAAAGATGTGGCACCTGCTATTTTTGTCGTCTTAGCATGTGGTAGACAATTGGCCGAGTTAAAAATTGGCTGTCTCTTTAGTAACCCTGTGCGAAGAGTGAATCTTGAGTTGGAAGCCATTTCGAAGCGAATGGCGATTTTGACCGAATATTTTTAAATCGAATATCGAATAGTTTCTCGAAGCCTTCCACTACCGTGTGCCATGCGTTTAAAGAAAACTCCAGCTCAACTCATGCAGGTTGTTCCTAACCTTCCACTTGTCCGCATCTAAGCTCGGTTAATTTTCTTATAGCTATGTTTATTAACTATGTCATGTAAACGACAAAATTGTCACAGCTATCCTAATCGAGGGGTGTTATAAGTCGGCTTGCTATATGCAAATATTATTTTTCCAAGTTCCAATTTGGCAACAAAAAAGGCTTCTTATGAGTTGTGAATGCGAAAGTATGAATGTCGTTCTTGCACACGTCCTCGTGAAGTTGCCGCGCCTCGCTGACACCGGCCGTGCCGCAGTGGCACAGAATCAGCTGCAGGAATCGGCCGGCATGCTCCGGCAGCCGTGCCGCCACCCGAGCGCGCCAGCCGATTCCATTTATTAGTGCGCTGGAGATGCGGGCAGGCAGCGCCATGGATTGGTGCTAATTGAAACTGACGCACGGCGGCCTCATTTATTGGCCGTTTTGTGTGGCGTTTTATGCGGCTTCAAAGCTGGGATGCCTCAAATCGTGGCTTCACGAATTTATCTGCCATTTCGCACGGCTGATGACATCGGCTCGCTCCATGGGACAGTTAATGCTTCCGCACTAAAAAAAAAAAACGTTCAGCCTTTCCACTTTAGTAAAGAAGGAAGAGCAGCGGAGCTGTAGCTTCTGTTCTCGGTGATGTCTTTCCAGGCGAGCAATCTGCTCTTCTATTCCAAGGGAATCTGAGCCGTTCGACGGGGTGGAACTTTGGGTGATAGCGGCTTCGCAGCAATTGCGAAACCATTCACGCTGTTGCGCACATCGCCGCTCGTTCCACTCCCACTTTTCTTCCTCCGAAAAAAAGGTTGCTGCCATCTACGAGCGACGGCGGCAAGCAGTTGTGTGGTTGCCGCCATCGCTCATAGATGGCAGCAGGTGTCCAGAGTTCGGTGTCATCATTTCTTTGCTGGTGGACACGATCCTGGGGAAACTAGCCCTTAACAGGTCCGCTGTAAAAGCGAGAATATCGCAGTTGATCTCGAAGCAGATATTGAATAGTGTATTGTTAATTATAACTATTAGAATATTTGTTCAATAGCAGTCTTTGGCATTTACCTAAGGCGTTGTAGCATTTAGAAGCCCCTTTTTTGCTCCCGTCCGTCTAAAACCAGTCTGTCTTGGACGTTATCGCCATACTAAATGGGTTATATATGTAAACTGGCACTTGAACTGCCGGGCGGCCACTAAGAGCGACTGACTTTGTGTCACTACTGGGTCCAACACTCTCCTTTTGGCAGCCGAGTCCCTCGCTGCTCTTTTTTCACCAAGCTGCACCTGCCGTTGTCGCTCCTGCAGGATTTTGGTGATATACAAAGGCTGCAAGCAAAAGCTTTCATATTGCTTTTGGTCTGCTTTTCTTCTGTTGAGCATTTACCGAGAGAAGTCCTCAGTCCAAGAACAGATGGGCGACTGATCGCTCTTCTCCATCGAGGCTACATCCACGGCGCCAACACGAAGAAAGGGTGACCTTAATAATGCTATCTAGTATTTAAAGAGCAAAATAAAATTGCAATAAAATTTCAGACAGACAATAGGCCAGTGTAAACTGTGATGTCACGTATGCTGCTGCAACCTAGCCTTAATATTATCATTGCAGATTTGTTGAAGTGATGGCTTTTAGGGGCAAAGCTCCTTAGGGTCTAGCCTTGTCCGTCCGGTGTCCGTGCTCACATCGATCTTGCTGGTGCTCGTGCTCGTGCTCGTGAGCTCACGTGCTCACATGCTCGTGCAAAAAAAAAAATGAAAAAAAAAAAAAAAGTTTGCGCAGTGGACAGGATTCGAACCTGTGCTGGGAGACCCCAATGGATTTCTAGTCCATTGCCTTAACCACTCGGCCACGACTGCGGGACGAGTAGGGGGCTCTGAGATCTGGTAGTAGCTTAAGAGCTGGGGGTGTCATGGATGAAAGGTTGCATGTAGCCGCTCAACGTCTATACAGGAAAGGGCGCTGCGGTCAAATGCGTATATAATTGCGTTAAACTTTGCATGCATTGGCTCAACGTTAATAGACGAGAAGGCGCTGCGGTCAAATGCTCAAATGCGTATATAACCACGTTCCATACTACACATTCTCTTTCTGACATGGATGAAAAGGAACGAAATGCTCGGCATGCTGCGGCTCAGCATCTGCGCAGACAAGCACCACCAGAGCTTTACCCCAATCAACATCATTCACCACGTGGAGATGCAGTCAATTTTTTTTTACCCTCCTTTTAGCTCTTCCTTTTGTTTTTATAGAAGGATGAGTGGCCTTGGCCCTGGCTAATCCTCCTTGTAATAAGTCGCCGAGTGCTCGACATCCGTGCCTCTCTACTCTCTGCTGAAGGTGCCCACTGCGTGCCGTTGCAGGCCTGGAGCGTGCGCAGAACTTCTCGCTGCCGGCGGTGCAGAACGACGCAACCCTGGAGGACCTGCGGCAGACGATGGCGGAGGAGCTGGAGGGGCGCCTCTACGAGCTGGCCAACCACACCCAGAGGGTCGAGGACATGGTGCGGGAGGTGGCCCACCTGCAGAACACGGCTAACAGCTCCCCGTTCAGGGTGAGTGCATCTGCCATCCTGAGCCAGAGGCTCTGCTCCATGCTAACGTGCAGTGCACCATATTAAAAATCACGTTGCTCCGAGAGCAGTTGCCCTCCACAGACCTCTCTTTCTCATGTTGGCATTGATCATGGTAACAAGGTCCCTTGTAGTCGGCGCCCATGGTTCCCAACCTTCCGCTTGTCCACTTCTAAGCTCGGTTAATTTTGATATAACTATATTTATTAACTGGGGCATGTAAATGACATATTTGTCGCAGCTATCCTAATTGAGGGGCTTAATAAACCAGCTTGCTGTATGCAAATGTTTTTTTTTCTATATCATATTTGACAAAAAACACGGAAATCATAAGTTACTCCACTGTGTGAAGGTGCATGACCTGCGAAGCTGTTGAGCACACAAAACAGACCCGCCCTAAGGAGCTGGAGGAAACTAGACATGCACAACAGGACCACCCCTCCGGGAGACAGGAAGGAAAGGAAACTAGGCAGGCAAGAGCTGAGAACGACGACTAAGAGGGGGGAATCAATGGCCGAGTGGGCTACAGTGCACACCCAGCTTGACGCGCGTAGAGCGAAAGCTCGCGCTGCAGAAGCCAGGGTTCGAGCCCCACCCCTGCCCGTTTCGATCTGGATGAGCATCGTACCGGTGTGTGGTCGTGTATCACTACTGCGTGATGCACGTTAAAGACCCAGGCTAGCAGTCGTACTGTACTGGCAAAATTGCTCATCTACAGTGTAAACTAGTGTCGCCCCCCCCCTGGCAGAGCGACCTTACGCTGTATAAACACTAAACATCCAATTTGGCTTTTTGACTTTGACGACAAATAGAGGGCAGTGCGAGCGTAAACATGGCCGACGCTGGTCGCACAGTGGCAAATCTTCGAGAAACTTTTATTATCTACCTGGGAGTCTACTGATCTTGAAAATGGTGCCTATTGATAACTTATCTACTTAATAGACCTATTGCTAAATTACCCAAGCATCGAGGAGAATGCAGGGAATGGTGTTCCACGCGTTGCATGTGCTGGCGTCTGTAGCAATAACTGTTCTAAAGTAAAAGCCTAAACAAATGGCATCTTGCATGCACTTTTGTCAACGCTGAGGCATTCTGCTACAGATCTAGTGAAGAAAAACGTTTGGTATTACATTATTTTTCAAACGATAGTTTTCTCAAACAAAGTCAGTGTGTTTCTGATAAAAACGACTATAATTTATTTGACAATTCATGTATGCAGATGAAGCTTTGCACTGCATTCTGCCTCACAACTGCCAGTATATACTGTAAATTTAATTCATAATAAGCAAAAGGTTCAAAAGTTAACTCTTTTGGGTAGTGTCCCCCTTAATGTAACCAGTAATATAATGTGATTTTTGTTTTGTTTTGTATTTTGCAATTTTTTCTAGCTGCATTGTTACTTGTTGTGTAGTGCACTTTCAAACCTTCTTATCTATTTATTTATTCAACATACCCCTAAGGCTCTCCAAGGGAGGATATTATGTAGGGTACAATATAGAATATATTGTATTCACGTCTAACCGGACATTTTGTTTGCTTCTATGTTCACCCACTGTGCAATGCCTCACCTCTCTCTCGGATTCAGTCATTCTATAACGCCATTGCTCCACCCCACCTTGATATATCTGCAGCTGTTCAATGTACCGTCGCCATTTGGATAATCTTACATTTGTCTCTTAACTTTATGTGTGTTTAGGATTTTTTGTTTGTTTGCTGGTTTTGCTGTTTGTGTTGGTGCACCAAGGGGAAGACCGATCTGGTTGTTTTTGGGCACCCAAAATAGAGAATATTATTATTATTATAAAGTAACAAATATCTAAACATAACGGCAAAACAAGAAAAATGTACAAAAACAAGTTAAAAGGATTAGTAAGATAGGTAAGACAAGTGAAACACAATTGAGATAAATTGTATGTTATTGTCACTCTACAATGAGTTCATGGAATTTTGTTACCTCGTCTTTGGTGGCTCTGTGTGCTGGCGGATTATTCCAATTGAATATTCTTTGTGGCTTGGTTCAGGGGATCATTGCCCAAAGCGAGGAGCTCAAGTTGCAGTCCGAGGCACTTCAGAAGGAGGCCAGGGAACTCCTTCGGGCCTGCCAGGACTACTACCCGGACGCAGAAAACGCCTATGAGGTGAGCACCCATGCTACCTTACTGAAAGCGATGGCCTTTCACAAGGAGTGTTGGGAAATGCGCTCAGAATCTTACATAATATGCTTGCTAGTGGAGTAAACTTAAATCTTTCTTACTACAGGAAAAGAGGCTGTTATGGGGTGATCTCAAGGAAAAATTGTTTAGCTGCGAATATCCCTACTAGGTATAATTCTGTACAAAGCATACCAAAATGTAGCTAAAGGAATTCTCTTTTCAAAAACGAAAATGTCATTAAGATATTATGTAGCACAAAAAATGTAATGTCAAATTTTGTGTAACCAATGCAGAAGTTATTTTGATTTGATGTACCTTGCAAAGTATTAGGAGTAAAAAAAATTAAAACATATATTTTGTAGCTTACTTTTCTAGAAACAAGTCCTGCGAATTTGAAAAGTTTCCATGCAAAACCTCTTGTTCTGCAGCCCTTGTGACGACCGTACCATTCCTTAAAGCCCCACCCAACTCGTTCCATGCTACTCCGTAGCCTGACGCCGAGGTCAGGACCGGGCCGCTTTTTCAGAGAAAACTCCACTCGTTTTCCTGCTGACAGCATAAAACCAATTGTACGTAAGGTTGACGCCCTGCAGGTGAAAAATAAAGCGTTTCGAACACACCCAGTGTGTCCACAGAAGCTCACGGAGGCAAGAAATGCCTTCAGCGAGCTAACACGAAACGTACCGACAGGCACCTGTGGATAATTCCTGCTGGTTCGACCCACTGCCACAATTGAAACTAAGATCCAATGAAAGTCATCTTCTGACTCACTGCTGCCACTTTTATCCAGAAAACTAATTGCATATGCACCGGAATCACGAGACAGGTGATGTTGCTGAGGGGCGTCGGCGTGCAGCGAAGACGCTGTGCCTGTACGATCACTCACGATCTTGGAACTTTAAAGTCACGCAAAATAACGCCCCCTCGCAGAAGAGAAAAAAAAAATGAAACGGAAACTTCAAGCAGAGTTCCTTCTTAATATCCCAGATGGCATTGCATGTCTCAAAATGGCGCTGAACATCACCGCGAAGCGACGAGGTGCATTCAGTGTCACTACTGCCCCTGCCAGAATAGTGTGCCCGTCGGTTTCGTGAAGTATAATGCGGGCGAATATGGAATGCACCTTTGACGATGCAACGCACCTCCAGATTATGACCGCCCCGGCCCGTTTTGCCCCCAGGGCCTGCGTGAAAACTCTGCCCGTCTGCGAGACATGGTGGACCAACTGCAGACGTTCCTGGAGAAGCTGAGCCCTGCGACTGAGAAGGCCGTGCCCTACGTGCGGGAGGCGGAGATCCACTCGCACAAGCTCCAGCAGCAGGCCAGGGAGTGCCAGACGTGAGTCCCTTGCGTCGGGAGGGCACGGACAAAGGCGGGAGCACGGTGTAGGAAGGCTCTTTAGGTGTGGAGACTCCTCTCCTCGCCCCGTCGGAACGGCGAACACATCATCTCCCCTCCTTTCCTATGTTTTCTCCGCCTGCCCCTAGAGGGCGCCAAAACGTTCAGGCCATCCGGTCGCCGGCCCTCTGCCGAAACGTGGGCCAAGTCACCCATTGCTTCCGCCCCCTCTAATTGTTTCCAAATTTTTTTTTTTTTTTTTTGCAATGGTGAAAAGAGCATAAAAGAAATGTAAAAAACCAAAGATCCGAACTTGGAAATGGCCAAACATTTGAATGAACACGCCGACTGCTCTCCAGCCTGGGGAAACGTGAACATTTTAGAAAGGGAAAACAATGACATGAAAATATTAGTAAAAGAGACGATCAGGATAAAGACGTCTGCCGAATGCATCAGTCACATGCTCGGTTGTTGTTCTTCTCCGAATTGAGGGCGACTAGTATGGGATTGTCTTGCATGCGGTAGACGCAGACACAACAGACTGCCCATCTGTTCAGGGTCGGATTCTGTCTGGCGTTCTCGTGGAATGCAGACACCTCCGTGGAAGGCAGACGCTTCTCTGGTTTCAGTCGAACGTGCAAAAGGGTTCGGATCGCATGAGAATGCAACAGGACTTCAAAGGAAAAAACCGAGATGCAAAGAAGTAGTCTCGAGAGAAGAAGGAAGAGTCCCGATTGTGCGACTCGTAATGTAGAAAAGAACTCCAAAAGCAACTATAGAGTATGTCATACATTAAGCAATGTTTGAACAGCATCTCTTTTTACAGCAATTTTCTTTTATTTTTTTTTAAGTTTGTGATTGTATTATTATTATACTTATATCAGAAGTGCCATTAATACAACCGGTTTGTTTTCCTTGACGAGTGTGGTTACTATAAACTTTTGTTGCAATCTGCTACATGCCAACGTAAGTGTACTAACAAAGTAAACCTTTCAAAGAAAGCTGCTTTCATTAAACTGCGTGCAAAATGTGTAACTTCGTGCCAGTTCGGTCAGCAGTTCAATTTAGCAGGAGTCAAAGGCTGCCTTAATATGTAAAAGAATAATCACGTTAGCTGCCCCGCATGTTGAAAAAAAATTTTTTTTTTATTTGTCCAGTTGAATTAACAGTAATTTGCGAACCCAATATATATATTTTTTTAGAAAAGTCACGCGAACGGAGCTTAAAACAATTCAGTTTATTATCCGCTAACAAGGTTTGTGTTAAACATTCTTTATTTTTGTGCATTCTTTTTTTTTTCTTTCGGTCGCACTCAAGTTATCGTTTACCTGCGATGCATTCAGAGTTTATTCATTTTACAAACGCTTACCGACGTTAATGTAAGCTAGGCTAGAAATTATCTACAGCAGAGGGATATTTCTTTCTCACTCGTAGACCCCCGCGTCAGCTGGTATTAGGGAGTTACTCTTGTTTGTCCGCCTGCCATTTTTCGGGTTATGTAAACTTCAGTGTGCTGAGAGAGATGATAGTGGCCCCACCTACATACCACATCGTACGCGAACCCGTAGCCACCGAAAGCAAGCTGTACGCCGAGCAGGCAGCTAGCACAAGTAGCCCGGTACGCTGCCGGATGGCCTGAAACTTACGGCGCCATCTAGGGGTGGCTCCGTGAAGTGAAGCGCGCAGGGTGTCATTATCTGGTCGCGGCGGAGAGCGGAGTCTCTACACCTAAAGAGCCTTCTTACACCGGGGGCGGGAGCTAGAGTGTTGCGACAGCAGTGAATGACCACTTCGTTACAGTGATACATTCAAACCCGTATATATAGAATTCAAAGGGAAGTGTAAAATATTTTGATATAATGACAATTGACCCCGTAAGTGATGACGTCACAACATGGCGTCTGGGTCCAAACAAACCGTTGCTAGGGACGTTGCTATGGACCAATGCATGGAGACTCCAGATGAGGCTAAATGTTTGCTTACGAGTAAGTAAATAATTTTTTGTAACCAACCTAACTTTTTGATATCTAATTATTAAGATGTTATTGTCGTCTCAGTGTCGTATTCCGACGATGAAAGCCATTTTGGGAGTATTACACTTCGCTTTGCTTTGGTAGCAGACGACACGGTTGCAGCGGGCGTCTATTGCGGCAAAAACAAGTGCATCGCTATGGCAGTAGAGGCCTCCACATTGTGCGTTTTTTTCTGTGAAGAACCGAGTTTAGTTGAAAGGGGTGAAAATGCCGTTAAGTCCAACCATGTCATGCAAATCAGTTACGACGACGATCTTAAGTGCTTTACCGGCGTAGTGCAGGCCAGCATGAAAAACAGATCGTACGCCGTCGAGGTAAGTCGTTTATTATTATTATTATTAAGGTTGTCAGGTTATTAAAGAATCGCATGTCTATCGCAATTTCGCACTAGTTTGCTTTTTTTTTTTTTTTTTGTATACATCAAATTTTGTGGATGTGATCTTTTGTTGAAGATCTCCATCGAACCCGCGATGCGAGTACAACCTGTAAAATGCATCGTAATTTTAATAACTGTAGACTAGTGGGCCCCTTTTTAGTGTTGTTAATTTCATTGTAGAAGGCTGATTTTTTAATTGTGCGCAATTAAAAAGACCCCTCTTGTAATCATTGATTTACGTTGAAACCGCGAAAATATATAGTTCAATGTAAAATACATTGTAGTTATAAGAACTTTAGACAACTTAGAAGACCCCTCTTAATTGTTTTCATCTATCGAATTGAGAAAATAACATATAAATACATTTTAAAAAATTAATTGGGATATAGCTATATGTCGCTGTCAAGCTTCAAAGAAGCATGCTCGTGAAGCTGAGTAAGATTTTGCAAACAGGAAATTCTAATGACAGGTACATAGAGCTGAACTAGGGAATTTTATAAAAAAATCTTTTTCTTCAGGTTGAAATGACGAACCCCAAGACTGTGGCCAGGGCCACCTGCAACTGCCCTCGAGGTTCCCTTCGATGCCATCACATGGCAGCTCTCCTCCTCTTTGCTCATAAAAATATTTCCTGCACAGATCGAGCTTGCACATGGACCATGAAGACGACTTCAAAGGACAGACAGGTTGGACCAGTCGAGACTCTGATTCCGAGTCCATGTACTTCCGCTTCACTGAATCGGCCCGTTAGTGAGGAGGACAAAGACTGGATTAGGAGTCGCCTGGATGCTCTTGGGGCCACAGTTGGCTACACATGGCTGTTGTCCAGAGAGCCAGACATGCCCATTCATGTCACTATTGAGGACCTAATATTTAGTGATGAATACACCCAGGCAGCCGACCGAACCGCCTATCTGGTTGAGAAAGCCGCAAAGTCACGTGAAGAGATCCAGCAGCTGGCAGAGTCTACAGCTGGACAACGCACAAATCCGCTGTGGCAAGTGGAGAGAAAGCTACGCCTGACCGCGAGTAACATTGGAAAAGTCCTCAAGGCGTGTGAGAACGACAGCTTTCCTCCTTCACTCTTTCGTCACCTACTTGGCGAATACTCACTGGAAGGTGTAAAAGCTGTCCAATGGGGCATCATCCACGAACCAGATGCTATCAAGGCATTTAGCGAAGCCACCAGCCTGACGCCAACGCCAACAGGGCTCTGGCTGCACGAGTCGGGCCTGTTAGGTGCATCACCAGATGGTCTTGTTGGAGACGAGGCTGTTCTTGAAGTAAAATGCCCATGGAAATTTCGTGAGGGGTCGTTGCTATGCCACTTGAAGGACGCCAAGGACTACAGCCTACGTTATGATGGCAGCAGCGTGCTTGTGAACAAAGGCCATGACCACTACCACCAACTCCAAGCTCAGATGTATTTTGCGAAGCGAACTAAGGGGTACCTCACGATCTGGAACCCAAAAGGCAGTATCACTGTTGGCATTAAGAAGGATGCAGAGTGGGCAGCTAATCTCAACATTCTACTGCACTTTTATCATGACACTTTTATTCCACACTTATTCACGTACTAGCAATATGTAGATCATGAATAAAGTAATCATGATTCTTGTCTCACGGTTACTACAGTCATGATAGCTGACCAGCTTGCGTGTACTTTAATCAGTGTTGGGAAGTACTTTAAGTACATTGTACTTAAAAGTACTTTTTCAAGTAGGTTTAGGTAACTTGTACTTTACTTGAAGTACATTCTCTGAGCATGTAGTACTTTACTTAAAGTACATTGTATTTATAGTACTTTACTTCAAGTACTGGCCAGTGTACTTACTACTTTACTTAAAGTACATTGTATTTATAGTACTTTACTTCAAGTACATTGCAGCCAGTGTACTTACTACTTTACTTGAAGTACATCACGTCTCATTTACTTTGTACTTTACTTGAAATACTTTTTAGGTGTACTTTACCCAACACTGACTTTCATGCTCATCTTACGTATGTCCCTGAACTCGAACACAAAGGCATTTACAGGTGCTGCTCTTCATCATCACACATTTGGTCATTTGTTTACTACTTCTCATGTTAGGAGCATCTTTTTGCCACGAATTGATACAAAACATGTTTACTAGTATTGCTACAGAGGGGAACTATGCACATGCTAGTGTATTTTTAGCTCCACATTCTCAACTCAGGCAGTCTAAACATGACATTGCATTTTCTCGCATTATTCTCGCATTTAACCACAAATATAAAAGCCATTGTTCATTTGTTTATGCCTACTATGTCATGCTCTGTACAGTTTGTTGTCTATAATTATTCATGCAAAATAAAAGAAACTGAAAATGATCCAGTTCAATCTAACGAATCCTGTCTTTTCTACACGAGAGACATGGCTGCATGCATTTCGCACTACTACACATCAAGAGACATCATTCAATGAGTGAAGACGAAGGAAGACATGACCAGCCCAGCTGTTAATCATTACTGCAGCCACATATATTTAGTTTTTGTCTGAAGCATATGACTTCAGTATTTTTTTATACTAGCTGTGTCTTTCAAACAGTTACATCTCTGACCTGTCAAGC